TGCTGTGGTATTTTAAACAAACAAACAAACAAACAGAATAGAATAGAATTAATAGGAGTTGCAGTCCAATGACAATTACTGGTTCACCTTTGTGCAGGTCTCATTTGAGGTTTGCAAAATAGAATTGATACCTGGATACCTTTAAACATTTAATTTTTAGTTTTGGGAAACTTTACTGTACTTCATGCATTTGAACATTATGTTTTGTCCACATATTTTTTTAATGGATCCCTTTGGGAGCTTGATTTTCTGTTATGCTAGCAGCTGAAGAGCGTAATGCTGGATTATGGAGACATTGGGCCATTAGTCTACATGGAAAATTTGTAACTCATGCTCAGTACATTGTGTTGCAACTTTTTCTATATGAGGCCATTCTCAACACAGAAATCATTAATGTTCCTGTTATTTGCCAGGTTTTCCCACTCATCTATGTTTTCTATGTATTTTTTATGCACCATGTTTCCTTGAAAATAAGCAAAGCAAAGCGTGCTACTTATATACCGCCCCATATTGCTTCAAGCACTCTCTGAGCGGTTTACAAGTTAATGATGCAGGCTACACATTGCCCCCCCCCCGCAAGCTGGGTACTCATTTTACCGACCTTGGAAGGATAGAAGGCTGAGTCAACCTTGAGCCGCTGCCTGGGATTGAACCCCAGGTCGTGAGCACTGTTTTGGCGGCAGTACAGCAGTTTAACCACTGCGCCACGAGGCCTTATATTAATTTTTGCTCCAAAAAAGCAGTAGGGCTTATTTTCAGGGGATGTTTTATTTTTTTCGTGTACAACAATCTATATTGATTCAAATATAGTTATGTCATCTTCTTCTGGTTGCTGCACAATGGTGGAAGGCGGGGTTTCACTTAACTGGGGCTTATTTTGGGGGGAAGGCTTATATTACGAGCATCCTGAAAAATCATACTAGGGCTTATTTTCAAGTTAGGTCTTATTTTCAGGGAAACATGGTAATTTTTACAAATAGTCTGCTATTGGGCCTGTCGGGAATATTTAACGTTGGCTGTCTCACAAGAAACACCATCTGTAGTATTTGTTCATTTAGTGTCCTGTAAATATGCAAAATATCAGCACAGCTGTGCCCTTGAGAAGAGCATGGATGCTCAGCATACCAGAGTAGGAAAGTATGACTGTAGTAGTGATCTTATCTTAGGGCTTATCCACACCAGGCATTTGTGGCCTGTCGGGAATATTTAACGTTGGCTGTCTCACAAGAAACACCATCTGTAGTATTTGTTCATTTAGTGTCCTGTAAATATGCAAAATATCAGCACAGCTGTGCCCTTGAGAAGAGCATGGATGCTCAGCATACCAGAGTAGGAAAGTATGACTGTAGTAGTGATCTTATCTTAGGGCTTATCCACACCAGGCATTTGTTCCTTGCACCCATGGTACCAATATATCACTTTGTGTGTCAATAAAACTATTTTCAAAGCGAGACAACCCCCCCAAAAAAATCCCTTACTTTCTGGATTGTTTTAAACCCCCACCAGATAGTGGTGTATTTCTGCTCTGCTTTCCTCTGCTTTGCTCCAGTGCACAGTGTGCTTGTGTAGACCCCAGTGCTGTGTTGCTATGTGCTGATCTATACACTTGGGGACAGGTCTCATTTGAGGATGTTGCTTTATGATCCTGTTTCTGCGGAGCAATCTCTGCCCCTCCACATTTTATTGCCGCTCCTGTTAAATTTTCTCGGGATAGCTGCTCTTTCTGCATTCTATTTTTTAAAAAACAGTTATATATTTTGCCCAATAGTACAAAAGTGAAAACTAAAAAAATGTGTAAACATTAAAATTAGAAAGCATTGACAGAAACAAGGTTTGAGAATGATAGGTGGCTTTCTTTACAAAATCTTCCCCCTCAGATGTTTGTGCCCTGGCCGTAGAAGACTCCTTCACTATTTCTTTAATCAAAGCTAACTATTATTTGACAAAGTTAACAGATACAACTTAACAAACAGCTCACATTTTTCTTTATCCTCTTTTCCCCCAGCACTTTTTTCTTTTAAGTTTTTCTTTTTTCTTTTAAATCATTTTGTAACAGGCAAGGAGTGGAACTAACACCTTGGCTCAGCCTCTTTAACACTTTTTGCCTCAAATCCTGCACTTCCATATTCAAGATTGATGAGGGTGGTAAACCCGTCTTCTAAAATTGGGCTCCCAGGCCTTCTTGCCTGGAGCCGGCCTGAAACAGGGTTTGAAAGGACTCATCCCACAAGGCTTCCCAACTGCCTCTATACATGCTTGGTTCTCTATGTTCTGCTTATTTTCAAGTTAGGTCTCTTCTCTCTTCTCTCTTCTCTCTCTCTCTCTCTCTCTCTCTTTCTCTCTCTCTCTCTAGCCCCAATACGGTGGTTTTCTATACATTTGTCTTTTCCATTGTTGCTCTGCTTCTTCTCCAGGCACTTCAAAGGTCACCCATTCTCCTCTCCATGGGCCTTTTCTTCACTATTTCATCCTAACCTTCTTCATCATTTGTTTTCTTGCCCTCGTATATCACCAACAACTTTCTTCCACCTCTTCTCCTCCTAACTCTCCCTTTCCTTTCCTCACACCTCCTTTTATATCTCCCTCTTTTCCTCCCCAAATGGCTCCCCTTATTTTTGTGGTTTTCCCCTGGTCTTTTGCTTTGGTTTTCTCCGTAGTCATCTTTCCCAGCCCCTCGTCCAAGTTTATTAAGTTTGTTTCCTCTAATTTTTCATTTCCAATGGATGGCACACCACTGGATCCTGGATCCATCACTTCTTTGGTCTCACAATAGGTAAAGGAAAGAGACAAGGGGTGGGGAGAAAGTGAAGGAGGCAGGAGAGGGCAGAGAACATAGGCAAACGGGGACAGCAATCTGTGTTGGGTATGAAACATTAGGGAACAATTCAAGATGCCTGTGGAGTGGAGGTACTGACATCCCAGTAGCTCCAGCAACGAATACCCTTCTCATGTGTAAACACCAATACTGAGATGATCTATTCAGATCTTTAACAAAAAAATACAGAATTACAGTACATGGAGCAACACTAGGAAGACTGGGAACAACACATCAGTATGGACAGAAAATACCAAGGATAACAAGTAAACCATACTAAGGGAAACTATTCACTTTTCTCTCTTCAGTATCTTTTTAAAGTGGTCTTTATCATGCTGCCAGGTAGTGAAATACTGGAAAAAAAGACTTTATACATCATATAAAGCGAGACAGCTTCATATTTCTGCAGTATCTGACATGATATGACAAACCTGTGTCTAAGATCAACAGCAGCTCGTCAGGCTGGTTTGAGTTGGGTCAGGGCACTGGACAAGGGAGATTTAACCGATTCCCATGTTATTTTCCTAAATAAATTTCTCTACCTCCAAAGCTGCTGTTTGCTCAAGGAGGTAAAAATATCAGGTACTTCAGGGGAGGCTGAGAAGTTGACATGCGAGATGGGCAACCCTAGCCAGCAAGTGTTTATTTTCATGATTCTGTATCAGAGGAGAGGGAGGTCTCAAGCAGAGTGCCACAGAGTTCTTCCTCTAGCCCTGTGCTGTTCAATGTCCTGAGTTAGAGTGTTGGGGGATGCTTACCAAATTTATGGAGGCCATGAAGCTGAGAGGAACAGCAAATGTTGCAGAAGACAGAATGAAGAAAGAGGGATCAACTTGACGGACTAGGACACTGAACTGAAAACAACAAGTCACAAATCAAAAGGGCATGACCAGACTGGCATTTGTCCTGTTGTTTGTCCTGTGTTCTTCGCTGCTCATTTGATATTTTCCTCTGATGATTAGACAATGTTATCACTTCACCTAAGTACAGTCGATCCAATTTTCTAGTGTGCATATCTAGCACATTCTGTTCACCTTCTAATACTCCTTTTCATTGTTGCTGCTGTGTTTCCTTAAAGAAAATGTTGGCTCAGAATTGTAGTGTGTGAAGGATTTTTTCCCTCCGTTGGCCATATCTTGAGAACATATATCAAGGTGCATACCATGAGGCATGGTTAGGGCATGAACCCTTTTATATCCTCTGTCCTTCTGATTTGCATATCCACTAAAATCCCTTTACTTTTTTTTTAAAGAGTCACTTGACAGTTCAGACAGTGTTTGCACTATACTGACATACCGTTTCAATGCAATATTGGTTTTAAATATCATTTTAAAAGAAAGGAATTTGAATCAAGAGTTATATGCTATGGAAGCATGACATGCATGTACAGCAACCATTTCGGGGGAAAACATGTTTCCAAAAATCTGTGGTTTGTATTCATATATGCATCAGGGCATGGAGTGGGTCGTGGTGAACAAGATACAAAAATAATGTAAAGGGTGGAGAAAAAGGTGGGTGATATTGACAGGGAAGGGTGACAGGAAGTGGAGGGGATACTACAGAAGATATGTGACTAATATCACCAATTGTGTGCACAGTTCAAACATAGCACCTAGGTTAAAAAAACATGGGTGTGTGAATTATATATGTTCTGCAACTAAACAGTACAGAGAGTATGGATCAATGCAGTGCAATGATGCTATCTGGTTATGCCCTCAATATCTTAGCTGATAAGAACCAGAACAGGAGTCAACAGCGCACTACAGCTTGTATCAAAACAAACACTAATAGTTTTTCCTTGTGTTAAAAGAGCCACAGTGTCCAAAGATGAAGAAGTAATAAGTCCTCTTCAAATATTTCACATTTACAAGTGTAGAGGAAACAGATATGTGCAGGTGGGGAAACAACTGCATTGTAACACTGTGGTTTGATTTGATTTTAAATGGATTCGTACTGATATACAGCATTTCCATTTACTTATGTATTCCTTTATGTTCATGGCATGCTGCAAAGCAAGGAAGTGTTGTACAGGCTTGATTTAAAACCTGAAACTGACATGTTTCCTGATTACAAACACAGTTAACAACTTACAACTAGTAAGTGTTTAGAGCTTTCACCTTACAAACTGCTTGACTATTATAAACATTTTGCTAACCTTTTTTTCCTCCTTTTTTACATGGATTAGATTCTTACCAATGGCATTATTGCAGTAAGTGAGCCATCAAGAGAAGAAGATTATCTTGGCCAATTTCCTCTCAGTTTTGGAGGCATCGCTCCTTTTCACGCTGATTTGGATACAACTGGTGGACAGGGGAGGGTTTATTATAGGGAAGATTCATCCCCTGACATCCTCCAGCTTGCTGCCAAGTATATTAAAAAGGGCTTTCCAGAGAGTTCCTTTGACCCAAGCAGTGTTGTCATTGTTACCTGGGATTCTGTGGCTCCTTATGCAGGACCTGGAGAAGATACCAGTTTACAAGTGAAGGTGAGCAGCCTAGTAATAGAAAAATCTGAAAACACAAAAATATTCTGTGTTGTTCCAAAGGTTAAAGGTTAAAGTAACAGTACATCCTGTCCCAGCCTGATGTCTTTCAAATAGATTGTACCCTATAAACCCCAAGCTACATGGCCAAATTTTAAGCATCAAACATCTGGAGGGCACTAGGTTGAGAAGATTGTATTTAGTGAGTGAATTTAGAATTGCCTTTCTTAAAATTGTAATAAGCCTTACAATGTTATTCTATACAGGTATATATATCTCCTCAGAAGAAAGCTCCCCAGTGTCCCATAATAAGATGTAAAAGTTGTCTCCCAGGTAGAAATGAGGGTCACTCACAAGAAAGAAAGTTGTAAAATGCTGTACGTTCTTGGTTGCTATGCAAATCCAAAACTTCAGATAAAACATCCAAGGATTTATCTGTGTGTCTGTGTCTGTGTCTGTGTCTCTGTGTGTGTGTGTGTGTGTGTGTGTGTGTGTGTGTGTGTGTGTGTCTGTCTGTCTGTCTGTCTGTCTGTCTGTCTGTCTGTCTATCTATCTATCTATCTATCTATCTATCTGTGTGTGTGTATATGTGTTGCGTGTATATATATATATATGTGTGTGTGTGTATGTATGTATATATATGTGTAATTTATATATATATATCCCATCCCTAGCACTAGATTTGCATATGTGTAGTACGTACGTACGTACGTACGTACGTACGTACGTACGTACGTACGTACGTACGTACGTACGTACGTACGTATATATGGATATACACATATACAGATATACAGATATATACAGATATACAGATAAATTTTTAACAATCTGGACTATATCTGTATCATCCAGGTGTGAACATATATACATATATACATATATACACATAAATTTTAAAAAATCTGGAATATATCTGTATTATCCAGGTGTGAAAAAATGGAAGTCTTTCAAGATACACTAGACTGTTTCACTAGCAGAAGGGGGATGGAGTGGTTTCCACCAAGATTTTGCATGAATTCTCTGACATTGACTCCACAGTTCCATCTTGGACACTATTCTATACAATCCACAGTTCTTGGAAATAAATTTGTAAGGAACAAAAAAGATTTCAGGGAGATGGGGAAGATTTCCTGTCACCTTCCTTTACCAGGATCATCTGTGAGCAGAATTCTGTTCTTGTCAGCTCAGTGAATATAGCAGTGGGAAGTGTTTATTGCCCTTTCCTGGCCAGTGTAAAGGTTTAAGTCCAAGCTTGTTGTTGACTTTAAAGCGGCATTTTCTATTGTTTTCACTGGCTGCAAATTGCTCCATGTGGGCAATTTGATGTGCAGTAGTTGGTGGAGTTAATGGCAAACTCAGGGCAACAATTACAGCAACACCAATGTGTTTCAAATGTACCTGCACAGGGGACCTGCCTTCCAAAATGAACCCATGAATTGCTTATATTTTCCCATCTTTCTCTTGTTTACAGAAATATTCTAGTAAGACTACATGCCATACAGTACTAGCTTGCAGCACTAAGGATATGTAGTTTGAAGTAGTTTATTTCAAAGTCTGTAGGCCTTTTTTAAAAAGTAAATAAACTCTGGCCAGGATCCTATTGGTGTTCCCATAAGGTTTATGGAAATTTCTGCACCCAGTTACACCTAATTGGCAATATGTGGAGATGCTTGGTCATGTATCTGATCATGGAACCAAGGTACACATAGTGTCTGATTAATTACCTACAATTAGCCTTAGCATATTATGTAAACATCACTGCTTATGCTGTTGAGAAAATTACTTCTCGTACTTTTAAAACTGTTCAAGAATAGGCTATGCTTAGATATGGGGATATGTTCAAAGGGGAAGGGAAGATAAAAATTTTGGCTCAGATGGCTTAGGCAAACGTTCTTTCTTCCCTAAACATACCTGATTTTATGTGATTTCATAAGCTAAGCATGTTAATACTTGGGGGGGGGGTTAGTACTTGGGTGGGAGATCATCAGGGAATACCAGGGATCTATGCTGTGTGTGCTGGGTGTGTGTGAAGGAAATCAGCATACCAGACGTCTTGGACAGCATTCCTAGTCAGGATTGACAGTGCTAGGCTAAACAGACTAATTATCTGATTCACCATAATGTGTCTTACTATTTTCCTGTAAGATATGGGATACACCTGTAAGGTATTAGATTTTAGTCTACAGCACTTCTGGAAACTTTGCATACAATGTCTGCTTTCTCCATGTTTTAAGATGTGATTCTAGATTGAATTCATTGTTCTCTATTTTGGAATAATAATTACAAAAACAGAGCTTTACATGATCAACAAACATACATTTTTATGTCAGATCTTCTGCAAATAAACTAAATCTAAATCTTCCCTACAGAGAAACACGTTCCAGGCTGTTCTAGCATCTTCTGATTCCAGTTCCTATGCAGTTTTCCTTTATCCAGAAGATGGTTTGCAATTCTACAGTACGCACTCTAAAAATGATAATGAAATTGTTCCAGCTACTGTTGGTTTTAGTCAACCTTCCACAAATTATTATTTATGGGTTAGACCCGGATCTTACAATATAGTTGCCAATGATGAAGAGATGCTTGGGAATCTACATAAGTAAGTTCTTTTCAAAAATTGCCAATATATTTTTATTACCTCTCTGTTAAGATACTGGCCAAAATCCTGTTTCTTTGCATAGTAAATTGCACTGAAATGGGCCCAAATGAATTGTAACTCACCATGTCCCTGTTGATTCAATGGGCCTATTCTAGTATAATTTACTACACTAGGCAACAGAATCTGGCCACTGTGTTTATATATAAATGTTTTTTGTTACTGTTCCCCTAAAATCACAGTTGCTATTCTTGTTCATAAAGCTAAAGCTTTCATAAAGCTTTGGTTATTCATTTCTGGGAAGGTGGTATTATGATATATTGTGGAAAGTATGGAGAACTGTTTTCCTATCTTTTCATGTTATCACTACTGGTGAAGCACCACCAATATGCATAACATAAAACAAATGTAAAATAAGAGTCCTCTTTCAAATTGGGCAGCATGGGTGAATAAGAAAAAGGAGAAAGGAGGAGACAAGTAATTTAACAAGCACCATGCACAGTGGTTAAATTGCAGTAATGTAGCCAAGCGTCTGCTCATCATCTGAGTTCAATCCTGACACATTCAGGTAGCTGGCTTTAGGTTGACTTGAGAACTTGAGACATCCCATCCTTCCAGTACCCAGCTCACTGGGATTGGGGGCAAAGTGGTCCTTGCATAATTATGAAGTAACCTGACCAGAGAGTGCTCCAGCACTATGGGGCAGTATATACATCAAAACAACAACAATAATAGTATATAATAATAATGAACAACTTCTACATGACTACCCAGCTCATGTTCCTTAGTTAACATAGAATCTTCTGAAAATGCCCACATGTGCATATCAACCATTTCCCTGAGTACAGAGTTCTAATTTTGAACAAATGTATTCATGTAACTGATCCGAAATGTATATGCTTTTGATGTACATGCTTTATTTATTTTATTTTATTTTATTTATTCCATTTATACCCCACCTATCTGGTCATTGCGACCACTCTAGGCGGCTTTAAAGTGTGTATAGGTTTTATACATATATTAAGACTTTTCTTTTCTACTAGGAGCAGCAATATCGGAAAACAAGGAGTCTGGGCATTTGAAATCAGTGGCTCAGAGAGTATCCTGTCAGCCAAAGCTACGCAGACTCCTGCTAGTGTCGAGTATGGTGACTATGACCAATTCCAGGAGGTAACTACAGACCCTTCTATACCAAATGAAGGTTCCATCGAGATAAGCCAGCCAGAAGTATCCTATGAGATTTCTAGTAGAGGAGATAACGTGCATACTAGCTACAGCGTGCCTCAGCCAGGAGCAGAAGATGCCTTTCAGTCTCCATATCAAACAGAATATCCTCCAGTAGAGCCTCCACTTCCAACAGGGAAAAATCCACCTCTTCAGTTTCCAGCTCAGCAGTTTCCACAACAACATGGCCAGATTATTGATGTGGAAGAAGTTGATGAAACTGGAATCGGTAAGATGACTGGGGTTGCAAAGGTCATTTCAGGAACCATAGAATGAATAATATGACGATCTCATATATTGATCAGATATGAACTCAAGAACCTGTTTTGAATCAACTCATGCACTTAAAAACCTAACCTGTTTCAGCACCTTCTAAGGCCAACTTCTTTTTTCTAGAAAACCTTTAGCAACGAGCAGCCACTTAACAGACTATATGGATACAGTGGCTTCCCAAGCCTTTCTTTGGGCATTGGAGGTATAGCATCTTCATATTGCTGTCAGCGTCATGAAAACTATGTACAAGTCTGTACCAGATGGGGGGAGGTAGAATTAAAAGGATTTTCTCCAAAGTAGAAATCCTCTCTGTCCTTCGGATTCCTTGAGCATAACAATGTGTGAGATCGAATTTCTCAAAGTACTGTTCAAACAGCTTGTTAGTTCAGCTAAAGTAAAGGCAGTTATATTACTTCTTATCATGATCTTCCCATCCAGCTGAACTGACATTTAAACCATAGTGATTGCATGCGACATTGTAAGTGCTGCTTTGTTTGTTTGCTTTTCCTGGTAAATTTAAACAAAGTAAAATGCAGTTGGCTTAATGATGGAAATCATGATACATAATCCATAGGAAAGAATGGGCCATCAGTATATTGATCCTACTGTACCAGTGCCAGAATATCATCATCATTCTGTTATTTTATGCATTCTGCAATGACCCATTGGCTTGTTATCTGTGCTACTATATAAACTAAGGTTACATCCATTCAACCATTTGCCTGCTGAAGGCTGTTTCAGATCAGGCTTGCAAAACATGTTTGTACAGTATGTGAAAGGAACTCTTCACTGGGAAACTAATGCTCTGGGACTAAAAGTTGTCAGTAGTGCCTTCAGTAGAATGTAGCATACTAAATTCCTGCTACATTTCTTAGTTAGTAGGGAGTATGTGCCCAAAGATTGAATAAAGCAATGAAAATGCAAGAGCCATCACTCCTAGAGTAGGAATGATGTCTCCTGTCTCCTGTTGCTCCTGTATTTTGCTGTTTTGCAGGCCGAGTGCTTTGCAGTAGCCAAGCAAAAGGCTTGGGAAATAAAATGCACCAAGAGTACCTTAGGATGTATTGTTACTGGGCTGGATGCAGCCTTTCTGGCCTCTCGTTAAAATGCCCTGTACTGAGAGCCTCTTTTCTTTTTTCCTTTCTACAGTGTTTCGTTACAGTACAGATGTTCAGCAAACCTGTGCAAACAACCGTCATCAGTGTTCAGTTCATGCTGTTTGCAAAGACTATCCAAATGGCTTTTGTTGCAGTTGTGTTGCTGGTTACAAAGGGAATGGCAAGCAGTGTGTAGCAGAAGGTAACTTTAAATAGTTTCCAAACTAAACATTGTGAAATAATAAATTCCTGAAAGACACTTCCCTTTGTTGGATTCAGTGACTGCTATTATGTAATGCAATTAATTATGCCATTGCATAAATAAATGATAGAACAATGATTGAACAATGATAGAAATCACTAATGATAGAAATCTCTTGCATTCTATTGTTTTAAAAACACATTTTTTGTGTTGCATACTATAATTCCCTAGTGTTTATCCTTGCTTTCTAGTAATTTTTTTTTGCAGTTGAAAATTAAAAAGTACTTAGACAAAATGCCTTTGAGTATTAAAGTCATTGCAATGCTATAACTTGGCTCTTTTGGGTTTTTGTGTGCAAGGTTCACCTCAGCGGGTTAATGGCAAAGTCAAAGGACGAATCTTTGTAGGAAACAACCCAGTGCCAATTGAATTTGAGAATACTGATCTCCACTCATATGTCGTGATGAACCAAGGGCGTGCATATACCGCCATCAGTACAATTCCTGAAACTTTGGGTTTCTCCTTACTTCCTCTTGCCTCCATTGGGGGTATCATTGGATGGATGTTTGCAGTGGAACAGCAAGGTTACAAGAATGGATTCAGTATCACTGGTAAATTTTCCATTCTTTCCTACCATGTTTCCTATTTTTGTGTCTAATTATCTAGTAAACTTCTGCATTCATATGACTTCGTACGGAAGATGGGGACTTGCCAGCAATCTCTAATTCAGAAGAGAGACAGCGTGGAATTTGGGTGGTGCAAGCTCTGCAGTGAACCAGGGTTTGAAGGGTCCCAATAAACAACAGTTGTTGTTTCCTCCTGAGCTGCTCTAGCATTGCAAATATTTAGGTTTTACTATTGGTGCTGTCTATGTCACCTATCTCTCCTCCCACCCCTTACCATCCACCCAGGTATGGGACTTGAACAACCAATAAGAGTAGTTTCCAGACGCAAGTGAGGCTATTTTCTCAAGTCTTTAGGGGAAAAAAGTTTTTAGAGAGAGCTACAGAGCCTGCCTTCAGTGATCTGAATCTATTCTCTTCAAACTCCAAGGGAATTTTTACTCTTCCTTGAAAATCCAACTTGTTTCTGGGAAATGGCTGCAAGAAACGTCTCTCTTTTATCTAGTGGAGATTGGGAAGAATGCTGACTTGACCCTTAAAATCCACAAATAATCATGGTGATAGTGTTGATTACTATGTTAACAGTATGAGCAAGCCATTTTGATTGAAGACATTTCAGGGCCTGACCAGCAAATCACCATACTAGCTATCCTTTGGAATGAAAGTGTGCAGTGTTTGTCTTATATTCCTGTATTGCAACAAGGTTGAAAGAAGAGATTAATACGAAGTGATTAGACAAAAAAACTCTCTCCAGTAAAAATCAGCTTCCAGCTGCTCTTGAATATCACTGTTTACATTTTTCCATTTAAAACATTTATTACCCATTGATAGATGTGTTTTCTATTTGCAGGGTCTCAAGAATTTCCCAGTAATTTCCCAGATAAAAATATTTTGCTGATACATAGGAGTAATAGTATGTGCCCCAATCTTAGGGGAATTAAGGATGCGAAAAGGCAAAGACTCTGAACATGTTTTTTTTTTTAATTGAAATAGCCCTACTTAGGTCCAGAATTAAGAGCAAAATATGTCATCCTCAGTGCAATGCATTGTCATTTTGTGCTGGAAATTGTTTTTAAATGGCCAGGATTCTGTTGCATAGTTCTGCCTGTGCAGTGGGAATGGCTTCCTTGGCCACAGCAGATGGCAACTAGTTGAAGAGTTCCTTTTTCAACTTCCAGGAAATGTGACAATTGTATGAAGTTGTGCACAATGTGATTTAAAAAAAACAACCTTGCAATTACTGGCAATCCACTGCAGCCAGGGAAGTCACTGCTATTGTTCAGGCAAAGCTATGCCGTAGGGTGGAGGGGTCTCTCTCTTAACTGGAACGCACAGTATTTGTGGAACATTCGCCAAGTAAAATGGTTATTCTTTATTTTAAAAAAGGCTACTTTTGTTACTGTTTTTGCTGCTCTAGCCAGGAAAATAGTTGTTCTCCCCTTAATTAGAATTCCCACCTGCTGTTGTTTGGGAACTGTGCCTCTGCGTGGCTTTCCCTATTAAATAAACTGTGCCATTGTCACTGTTTGTCATTGGAGGCAAAATCAGGTGAAATGTACAAAGTGTTCTCTGTCTTACTTCATATTTGGAGAGATTTAAGACACATCTTTATTTACTTTCCTTTTGAAAAAATAGGGTACACACTGTCACAGGCTATGCCAAGCAAACTACTGTATGTTTGTATTTATCCTTTATTTTGAAGCTGAAGCCTTCCCACTTTCCTGCAGTAATTCTGCTGTAGTGACACCCTTTATCAATCACCTCTCTCTCTTCCTCTCTCTCATTCTTTCTCCAGGTACTTCATAATACAGAAATGTCTTTTAAAAGAGAAGAAAGGGGTATCAGGCAGTGGTGTAGTTGTGGCCAGGAAATCTAGTGTCAATTGTCAAAACAGATCACAAGCCATATGTCTACACTACACCCTTTATCAATCACCTCTCTCTCTTCCTCTCTCTCATTCTTTCTCCAGGTACTTCATAATACAGAAATGTCTTTTAAAAGAGAAGAAAGGGGCATCAGGCAGTGGTGTAGTTGTGGCCAGGAAATCTAGTGTCAGTTGTCAAAACAGATCACAAGCCACAAAACAGATCACTGTCAGTTCACATGGAAGGACTGATGAGTTTTATTTATCTAAAAGCTTTTCAAATATATGTAAAATATGTGTATAAAAATATTGACATATTTTAGTGAAATAAGGGGATGCTCATTCATTCATTTTCAGACTGATGGTGAGAAGGGTCCAGTTCTTCCCTGAGGAGGTGGGGCTTCCCCAGTATCACTTTGAAAGCATTTTAGTTTAAGAAAGTTGAAGGAACTTAGTTCTTGATTGCATTTCAGCAAAAGAATGAGTATATATTTGAACATGTAAATAAGTTTTCCTTTAATCTTCTAGGCGGTGAGTTTACAAGACAAGCTGAAGTCACATTTATTAGCAACAATGAAAAGTTGACTGTTAAACAAAAGTTCAGTGGAATTGACGAACATGGTCATCTTACAATCAACACAGAACTTGAAGGCAAAGTCCCAGAGATTCCGTTTGGTTCTTCTGTACACATAGAGCCCTATACGGAGCTCTATCATTCTTCTACATCTGGTGCGTTATAATAATTCAATAATCTTGATCCTTACATCATCTTTTAATAGGTTTTCTGCATCTGCAAGAGGAAGGAATACTGCATGGTGAACCCTCAGTGTACTCTTAGATTTGACAAGGCTAAAATAGTTAACTTCTTTGATTAGAGAGGCTCAATTCAGCGGTTCATGCCCATTCATTTAACAGCTGAACAGGTGTTTTGCGTTTCAGACCCCTGCCTCCTCCAGCCGGTATCTACTCAAAGGCAGCATCCAGAGGAGGTGAGGTTGGGAAGCCAGGGTGGTGCCTTCAAGTGGGCACCCTCCAGAAGAGGGCAGGGCTTTGAAGCACTAGCAGTTCATGCCCCTCTCCAAAGGCTTAATAAAATAAGTGAAGGGCCTTGCTTCTGACTAAGCATATTCAACGAAAACTGTCTTCGGACAAGCGCTGGCTCTATGGTTTGAAAACGGGATGAGCACCGCCCCCTAGAGTCGGACACGACTGGACTAAAAATGTCAAGGGGAACCTTTAGTGATTGTGAGGTATTTACAATGTGGCATGTCTGAATTCTGTTATAATTGTGTCTTCATCAACCCGAGGGTCAGCTCTGATTGAAATCCCATGCCACATGAAAGGACTACTGATCGCACAGTGGACCTTTCCCTCTTCCTTCTCTCCTCAATTCCTGTGCTCTCCTAAATCTACTTTGAATCTCTCTCTCTCTCTTTCTCTTTCTCTCTCCTTGGTCTTCTGGAGCAAATATTAATGGATTCCAGGCAAGTGCAGACAGGCAGGGAAATGATTCTTCATTTTGCTGACAGATTATATTCTATTAGTAGATGGCACTAATTGGACACAAAAGGTTATAAGCAGGAAAGGGAAATTATCACAATTATTCTTGTGTTGTTGTCAGTAGTTTACTTACCTATTTGTTTGTTGTTTATTTATGAATGCCATAAATCACCTACATCTAAAGGTTTCAAACCAGTCTACGATGGGTGTGAACTGTATAATACAAAACAATGTTTATTGAGAACCTTTAATTCTTAATTACCAATATGTAGGTCTTTCCTTATTTCAGTTATTACATCATCATCTACAAGAGAGTACACTGTAACAGAACCAGAAAGAGATGGAGTATCTCCAACTTACACCGTTCCCTATCAGTGGCGACAGACAATCTCATTTGATGAGTGCATTCATGAGGACTCTCATCAACCTATTTCAGCCACTCAGCAACTGTCAGTGGACAGCATCTTTGTTTTGTATAACAGAGAAGAACAGATCTTGCGATACGCAATGAGCAATTCAATCGGCCCAATTGGTATGTTCAGTGACAATTACCCTAGTTTGGTTTATTCATTTTATTCTAGTTGGGATCCTCTGTTTCATTCATCCTGCATCTTTGAATTTGTAAGCTATCATGTGAAACGTTTATATCTAAGATCCCTCTTGTGTCAGATGTATTGTTTGTCCACACCTTACTTCCCAGAGAGCTTTCTAAGTAGCATGGGAAGCCTACAAGCAGAAGCTGACAATATTAATCCAATACCACTGGGTTTTTTTTTTTCTGAGCAACTGGTATTTGGTGGTCTGTTACCTCTCACCATGGAGATTCCACTGATAAACCCACCATCTATAAATGTCAGTGGCCACCGCATCCTCAGACAGATATGACAGAATTTAGAAAATGAGTTTGAAATATGTATTTCCAGATGTTGATGTTAACTTCTAAATCCTCTATATGTACTTCTTGATTTGGGTCTCTGGCACAGTCACTGGGAACCTTTCCTGAACAAAACATTGTAACTTGCAGAAGAAAGCAGAGATTTATTTGAAATTCTGCATGTTCATAGTTGATGCAATGCAATGCCATTGTCATTATGTTAGGAAAAACATGGTGTGCCATAAGTATTGCTAATAAATCCAGAGGTACTTTTGAGTTTCTATAGAAATGATGACTAATGAATAAATGTATTTTGATTTCTATGTAGATATCTTTAGACAAACCATTACCATGGTTTGTAAATTGACTATCAGTCATAAGCAATGGCAAAAGTTTTTCTTATACTAGTAATGTAGATTCTCTGCATTTAAACAACTGTATATATTATCCACTTAGATGGATTTCTGTTTATGCATAATCTATTTGTCTATTTGGCAATAAATCTGGCTTTTACACCATTTTGTTGTTGATGATGATGAGAACAGTCATAGTAACAAAGAGAATATTACATACATCCACATGCTAATATTTCCCACCACCTCTTGACAGAATCAGGTGATATAAGCCGGAATCCTTGCTACATTGGCACCCATGGTTGTGATATCAATGCAGTTTGTCGTCCAGGAACAGGCAATCAGTTCACCTGTGAATGCTCAGTGGGCTTCCGAGGAGATGGGCGTACATGTTATGGTATGGAGATATTATTTTGCAAAATAATAAAAATAGTTCAATTTTAAAAAATAAAAAATTGAGTTTCAGAGAAAGTCAGCTGCGTATCCTGAAAGCCATTTGTATTGCTTTTCAGCATCTGTGTTTTGCTCTTTAATGTTACCTTTGATATGAATTTGCTATAGCATACAATAACAAATATTGCTGTGTAGTGTTTTATTTTTCTTTTACCCTGCAAGCAGAAGTTTCACAGATTTATGAGGCCATTGGGCTACATCTCAATAGCAACAACAGTCTGATCAGATTGTTCTAAAACTCATTTTTCTTTTTCCTAATGCAGCATCTTGAAGTGTAGGGAAATTCAAGCTAGAGGAATGTAGATTTGTAGTTTTTTGGACGACATCAGCTTGAGGAGTGTAGTCCAAAAAACACAAATCAGCACACCTCTGATCAGCACAGGCCAAACTAAACATGTAATTAATCAAGTAGTATGGTGGTCACAAGTCTGTTTTTTCTTCCTTCACAAAACAACAGCCATGAGGGGACGTTAGACCCAAGTTGGAATGCAACATGAGCAAAAAGGATTTTATGGTCACAAGTCTGTTTTTTCTTCCTTCACGAAACAACAGCCATGAGGGGACAAGTTGGGAATGCAACATGAGCAAAAAGGATTTTAACATTTCATTGTGTTCCTTCTGGGTTGAAGGCCTCTGAAGCTACTGTTAATCTTTCATCCCTGTCCCTAATCCTGATCAACATAATTGCAGGGACAAAGGGTTAAATGCACACTCCCACCATAAGCAGAGTCACAATCTAGATGTTGGCTGTCCGCTGCTGTTTAAAAAAGAAAAAACAACATAGAGAAAGGCCCTATCCAACGACGAATGCTTCATCTGGTTTGACACTAAATTTCTTGGGGCTGAACAGTTAGGATATACAGTCTCTCCTGAAACCTTTTTTCTGTTAAAAATGGCCAACACCTTAAGCTCACAGCATCATGAGGCAACTCTAGATTCCTAGGAAGTCAAAGCAGGGAACATATTATAATGACAACACCAATGTCCAAAACAGACAAACCCTTTCACATAGTTGCAGATAATATAATACGTTTATAATACGTTTCCTGCTTTGACTTCCTAGGAATCTGGCAGGAGACAACTGAACCAACAGGTTTATGTGGCAAAGTCAGAGATTGTGTGCTTTATCATGTGAGCCTTATCTGCCATTTGGCAGGTGCTCCCAGTCTTTTTTCAAAAAAGTTTCAAAAATCTATTCCTCAGTTGAATTAGAACTGAGCAATAGATAGTTAATGTTGCTTGTTTCAAGAATGGCATTAGTGACAGCTGTGCAATAACACTTCCTGTCTATGTAGATATAGATGAATGCTTGGAGCAGCCAACCGTGTGTGGCAGCAATGCAGTTTGCAGTAACCAGCCAGGAACTTTCCGATGTGAGTGTCTAGAAGGATACCAGTTTTCAGCTGATGGACGAACATGTGTGGGTGAGTTTACGGTCAAAGCATCCTTTCATTGTTTTGGGGAAAGTGGGGCTTATAGAGTAAAATATCAGCATTTTCTCCTTTCGGTTGGGACCACAACAATTTTCTGCGCTCGACAATAAACCACCCTCATGCTAAAACCAATCAACCTGTGAACTCAGGAGACTATAAGGGAGTGCTGTGCAATTGTTGCTGCACAAAATGTTGCTGCAGAGTGTGTAATAAGGGAGTCTTGATCGGATAGAAGTAGGTTGATGTAAAATTCATCAGGTCTCCCTGGATATCTGAGAATAATTGGGCTCAGGAGGTTGGTGCATAGATCTCTATAGAAAAGACAGTACAGTAAAACATGAGCTACAATTTTCACTTGGCCATCATTACATGGACACAGGCAATCCGAAATAGGTATATGTTGAAATCTTCCCTCTATGAGCTTAGAGGGTGAAACATTCTCACTAATGTGAACGCTCTTCTGGTCTTGTTGTCATTGTGCTAGACAAATATGAAGAAATTGTAAAGGCATTATTAATAACAACACTATATTTGCCTGACTGGCTCATATGCTTTTGAAGTTCTATGTCCCAGGTTCTTTGTTTGAGTGCTGCTTTAGCACCGACATGCCCCATCACCAAGAAAACATTGACAGAAAAAAACATTTGCCTTATTTCTTTTGTGAGTTGGCGTTTCCAGTCTGATTGAAAGGAGTCAAAAAGTGACATCTGTGTCAAGCCTTCTGAAGAGAAGATAACCTTTAGCCATTTGTTTGTTTGTTTGCTTGTTTGTTTGCTTGCTTGCTTGCTTGCTTGCTTGCTTGCTTGCTTGCTTGCTTGCTTACTTACTTACTTACTTACTTACTTACTTACTTACTTACTTACTTAATATCCCGCCTATCTGGTCAGTTACGACTACCCTAATTAAACATATGGATTTTGTAAAGAATCTTTACAAATCTTTACAAATACTGTATGTAGGAAGGACTCCCTATACCTCAAAGACTCTGTTCAAACCAGTTTGCCCTAGACGATCCAATGGTTCAAAGGATAGCTATAAAAAATGCTGTACTTGATTCTCCCCATATTTTACAACTAGTACACAATTAATTATCTGTTGTACACTTTTAAAATTACAATTTGTATATTTTAGACATATAATATGTTTTATCAACTGATTGTACATTTTTAAATCACATGTTGTATATTTTAGCCATAAATATGTTTTGTGAACTGGTCACTCGACCATAATAAATTCTTTCATTCAGATATCAACATGTTCTATTTTAAAACTTGTTGATGAATTCCTTTGTTGCGTACTTTTTCTGAAAACAAATGAAAGTAAAAATAGTAATGTAAACTTTTTTTCTTTACTAATCATTCTTTTCTGGAGAAATATCAGGGTCTAATCCAATTTCTTGTCTCAAGGAGAATAGACCCATTGCATCAATTAATGAATTTTAAACCGACATGTATATAAACCCAGTTAATTTAACTGATCCGATCTAATTGTATTTAAGCCCAGAAATATCAAGTCTGTTCTTTCTTAATTTTGTCAAAGGAATATCTAGCTTGTAAAGAATTATTATAGGATAGCCAGTGCAGGCTCAGTTTGCTAACATGATTTGTTGAGCTTTATTGGGTAACATTATCAGTTGTCTGACATTATTCAGAGGATGCACCTCTCCTAAGGTAGGCCAGAGTTATTCTTCATTCCTGCAAAGTTCTCATCTTTCCTCTCACCAGGCTTGCAGCTTGAAGACTTTGCCTGCTATGCAAGTCAGAAACATAACATTGTGGAATGGTAATCCCACTCTGGCTCTGCCACAGTTCTGTTCGTTCTCTCCTGAATGGATGTTTGTAAAAGCAAGCAGGAGAATATGCTTGAGTGAATACGCTGCAGTTCCAGAGGTGGCAGCAGAGACAACATTCTGGAGTGATTTCTCTGTGATTCAGAACACTTGCACGGCCACAGTCCCCCTCCCCACTTTTGCATTGTTGGGGAAAGTGCTAAAAGAGAGATGTCTAAAGGCCTACTAGGGTTGCTCCTCATTGTAGGAAAAATAAGGAGACTGATATAATGAACTGAACATGCATTACTGAACTATTTACAGAATTGGCCAATGGGCCACATCTTCATAAAGTCCCCACTCACCTTATCAATAGTCCCTTAGTTCTTGCTAGGTTCAACCCCTCCCCTAGTGCTTCAAAGTCTTTAGTCAAACCAAGGAAGCGGTGGGGGGGGGGAATGCCTTCTTAATCCTCCGTTTTGGGGAGGAATAGCTCTTATGGGATTAACTTTCCCTCCTTTTAAGTCCTTTCTCCATCAGGCACAATCCTTTGAATTCTCTTTCAGATGCCTTTACCTCCGCTGAATAGGTATTGGAGTGGTCACCGCTGACCACCTTCAAGGAGTAGGTCCTTTGACTCAAACTCTCTTGCCATAAAGCAAAGTATTTGACCCCTGCTACCTTGGGAAGCACTCTGTCTTCGAAGGGGATGGTAGGGTCCAAGGGAAGTGCCTGCAGAGTAAGAAGGGACAGCTTGGCGATCAACTCCCTCTATTTAGACGCATCCGTTCATTCTTCAGTTCTGCTTTCCTCTTTCTACCCCATCAGCAGTCCTGGGCTCCTTTCCCCCCATTGCTCAATTTCTTCTTCTTTTATAGTCTTTCTTTTGATGAGAAATCCCCAGAGTGGGAGCCTAATCTCCTTTCCCCCCTTTTCCATCTCTCCATAGTTGTCACCTTAATGGCTGGAGTGATTGACACCATCCCTAGGTGTCATGGAGAAGGGTACCACCCATAGCTTCCTGACATCTCTTTTCTAGGACCAAGACAGGGCAGGGAAGATGTTGAGATGACCCTTTTCACAGGCCAATACTTACCCATTCACATGGGTGTGTGTGTGTGTGTGTGTGTGTGTCTTTCTGTTTTTAGTTTATGTCCTATTGTGTTTATATGAAAGCCCTGTGACCATTACAGTGGTGCCTCACAAGACGGGCGCTCCATTTAACAATGAATCCGCATTACGACGAGGTTTTTTCAATCGCAAAAGCGATTGCAAAATGATGGGGGAATTTCGCTATGCGATAATCGGTTCCCTGTTTCAGGAACCGATTTTTGCTTCCTGACGATCAAAACAGCTGACCGTCAGGTTTTCAAAATGGCTGCCGGATGCTCAAAATGGCTCCCCACTGTGTTTAGGAGCCATTTTTCGCTGCACAGGCACCCGAAAATGGCCGCTCCTATGGAGGATCTTCGCTGGACAGTGAGTTCTTAGCCGACTGGAGCGCATTAACCAGGTTTTAATGCGTTTCAGTTGCTTTTTTTTTTCACTTTACGATGTTTTCGTTCTACAGCGATTTCGCCGGAACGAATTAACGTTGTAATGCGAGGCACCACTGTATTGCCAACAGGATAGGATTTAGGGGCAGATGTTCAAAGCCTTACCAGAAGCAGCAGCAGCCTACTATGCAACATATTGGAGGAACACAGATTAGCATATAAAGACGGGTACCTACAGGAGACTGTGAAGTCCAGGGTCTCTAATTACCTTACTAATGTACACCAAAGTGTGACTTCCCTTTTAGTCTGGTGAATTGGATTTGTCCACAAAAGCTCATATTAAAAAAATATAAAAGCTAGTATTCTTGAAGGCTTTCACGGCTGGGATCCAATGGCTGTAGGTTTTCGGGCTGTCTGGCTGTGTTCTTGAGGTTTTTCTTCCTAACGTTTCACCAGTTTCTGTGGCTGGCATCTTCAGAGGACAGGAGTCAGAACTCTGAGAACAGAGTTTTTGTGGATTACAGTGCAGTTCCTCAGACATTCTGTAGGTGGATTATAATCCATGAATTCTCACACTGAAATACATCTGTTAGTATTTAAGATACCACAACTCCTTTGTTATAATCGTTGTTATATATGATGAAACAGATTAGCAGATTTCCACCCTGTAGTAAACTGAGAGAATAGAAGTGACATAGTTACGTTTTGATCTAAGAATAAAGTGTAACTTGAGAAAGCTTTTGGAAACTTTATAGCTTTCGTGGATCAGCCAAGGAAATGTATAAAATATTTCCTTTCCTTTATTTTAGTTGTTTCAACATCTGTTTGGAGGAAACTTGAGTTTAAGTGTATAGTCTGGCATTTCCTGAATAATTTTCTTTCTTACTCTTTCATTCTCACACATATTTAGTTATGTACATTCTTTAGCTAAGGGTACCAGTTAACAATTTAGTACAATTTACCCCTGCTTGGTGCCCTCAGATGTGTTGAAGCCTAACTGTCCTCTTTCTCCCGTTGGCTGTGTTAGCTGGGGCTAGTGAGAACTGTATGACAACAGCCCCATGGAGAACAGCAGGATGCGGGTGGGATCCATTGATTACACTCTTAAAAATAAGTCCCAGTCAGTTCTGTAGGGCTTTCTTCTTAGTATTTATAGCTTTGTTTCCTCAAGTGTGTGTGTGTCACAGAGGAACTGTTTCTGTGTAGAATTTTAGTGCATGTACTGTAACTACTTAGGTCAAAGTTGCCTCAAAATTATTATATAATCAGAGGATATCTTTTCACTTCTCGGTACCCACATTTATCTCTTGTGTACAGTTGGCAATATTTTGCATGGAACACAAGCTCTGGTGTGCAGACTAATCAGAGGCTTCTTTTAAAATAACAAAGAAAGGTAATGGTTAATATAACAGTTACAGAATTCATATTTTTCTACTTTCACTGACGTAGATGTTATTACATTACATTAGCTTTTTGACAACACGATTTAATGAAACAAATGTATTTTTAAACATAAGCAAACATTCTAGTCCTTCTACAATTATTTGTACTTTGGAAAATTAACATTGTTTCCTGAATGTAAATTAAACTACAAATTTGTACATTCAGGATAATTCATTTAGCTTCTCCTGCTTTACTCTGTCTAATGCTACAATCATTTAGAGATGCTTTTAATTTTTCTTTTTTTTCTTTTTGAAGTATATTCACTTCTGTCTCCAGAGCTCAAACAAATTCCTTCCTTCCTTCCTTCCTTCCCCCTCCCCCTCTCTAAGATATCAGTCACCCCCTCCCCCATTTCTTGGAGGAAAATATCCCTTTGTGAAGTACATCTTTTGCTGTGGCCCTAGGAGAGAGAACCCACACTGAAAGTGGTGTTCTAAGATCAGGGGGACAATTTAGTCCTCACTAAATTCACTTAAATTAGATGTGAAGAACATACTCGGGATAGAGGTCCAGAATTTTTCTTTGTCCCATTTGAATTGTGTGCTACAGTCTGACATACTTGTGTGATGAATCTCTAAAGGAAAAAACAATGCAGCTGACACTGTTTGCCAGATCATTTAAGAATCTCTTGTGCTGTCTTGACCAGATGGTTTTGGAGCTTCATTTGTTACAAACAGTTTCTTCCCCCCCAAAAAAAAAAGTCTCTGCAAAACTGGATTTTCATGCAACTGTGTCAATTTCTCTCTTCCCATCTCTCAAAGGAATGGAGAAAATAATGTGGATGTTTAGGAAATTGACAAGTTATTTCTAAGGGAGAAAAGATCAGATCAGCTTCAGTGTTCAGCAGGATGTGAGAGAAAATTTTTGTGTTTGGCTTTCAGAGTTACCAGCTTAAAACAAACAAACAAACAAACCCACATGTGCCCATTTAAAAAGCTTAGTAAAATAGTACACAGATACATGAATTGCTAATAATGGACTTTTCCCCCCTGACATGTTGAGGAATCATTTTACATTTTAAATTTGATATTGTTCTCCATTTGATATTGTTCTCCATTTGTTTAAAACTTATTAAACTGCCAACAGAGTTACTACTATAGTCTCTTGTTAAGTTACAATTCTGGGCCAACTTTATTTCAGTTTTTTAACACGGTAGTGAATTTTCTGTGCCTAAGCAACAGATAGTTTGTTGAGTATATCAGAGGCCTCTAGGGCTTTATTCTCCCTGCAGATGTTTTCTCTCTCCACTCCTACAGATGTTGCCTTTGTCTGTTCATGTACATCAAGGCAATGCATGCAGTCTTTGTGGGTACAATTGGCTTTCTGCTGAACCATGAAGTGAATGGGGAATGCTGAGATATGTCAGCTAAAGAACCCTAAGTGAGGATAATTAACATCTTCAGTGGGTCATAATAAACTCATTGAAGGGGCCAACAACAACAAACATCCTTTTGTATGTGGATAAGTCTCTTAGCAGTAAAAGGATATTATGAAAAGAACAGATTTTGTTGCTTTCAAAGAGGAAGAAACAGCTAAAGTGACTGTAACTTGGATAGATGTGAATGGAAATCTATGATTAACCTCATGACTGGTAGATGGTGACAATGAAAGATGGGAGAGAACATTTAGGTATAAATATGAGGAGTTCTGGTTTTATAACATTTAATTGGTAGCAATAGATTTGGGTGAGATACCCAGTTTACTGGACTGCCTTGCACCTTTACTCATTAAGGTGAGTAAAGCTACTAGAAGGATAGATGATGGCAACAGCAATGTCTCTGCTGTGGTCATCCTCCTGAGTAAGCACTTTAGTTTTGGTGATGAAGCACTTGTAGGTGCTTTGGATTGATTGGTCTTCTATGACTAATCATCTTTGCCCTATACTTTACGTGCGGCAACGTTATGCCAAGTAAAATCAGCAAAGAAACAAACACAGGCCTCAAAGTCCAGCACGCGGTGCACACTTTACATGTATTGATCAGTTTTTGTGATGCCTGCCGGTAGGCTGACTGCTGCACTGAAGTGCCTGTATGACTGGGTATTGGATTTCCATATGCTAAATGGAAAGGTAAATGTGCAGCTGTATTGGAGAACAGAAATTTTAACACTACACAGCTTGCCCTCTGCCACCCTGCAAAAATGAGCTAGCTGCTCTCACATACAGTTAGTGGTACAGAAATGAAACGTCAAATAGACATTGAGTTAAAATGCACTAAAGAAGACAGAGAGAACCAGAAAGAGAGTCTATAAAGTGAGGGAAGAGGGGGAAAAAAGACAAGGAAATGTGGCTAGTATTTGTAGAGATGAAGCACTTGGATGGGTAAGACAGAAGATGAGTGACTGACACTGAAAGACGAAATTCTACATGGGATAGAGTTAAAGCACTAACATATGTGAACAACAAAACAGAGATTAAATAGAGATTGTTGGTGACATCAGATTTGGCTAGGTGCCCCATTCAATTTATGAGTAATAATTTGGCTGCATTTTACGGATTTTCCCTCTACTACTTTCAGCTTTTAAGCACAGAAGGAGCCTCCCTGAAGAGTGGAAAGCACTGAAAGTACACTCGGGTGTCCCCTGGCCAACAGCATACAGCTGTCCAGTCCTTCACTTCCAGAAGAGTTGCAAACTTGTTGATGAGCAAAATGACTCAACAGTCCTTTTTAAGGACCATAAATGACAATAATTTCTATTGCGTTTTAATGTGTTTTTAATTTTTACCTATAATTCATATGCATCCATAGTTTTAAATTGTGCAACATTCTGATACAGAAAAAGAAAGAAAGAATGGAGCCTTTAGATATAAACCTTTATACACACATATAGCATAATGCTACTAATAGATCTACCAACAGGAATTCTATTTGATTCTTTCTAAATATATTTTGTCCTCTAAAATCCTTCTGTTAAAAACTGTAAAAGAATAGCCTTCATATTAAAGCATTTTTGTTCATTTATTTCCGACTCACAGCTGTGGAACGTGACATTAATCACTGCCTGACAGGCACCCATAATTGTGATATCCCCCTACGTGCCCGCTGCATATATGCTGGTGGTTCTTCTTACCATTGTACCTGCCTGTCAGGCTTTTCTGGAGATGGACGCTCCTGTGTGGGTGAGTGGCTCCATTTACTCCACTTTCCATTTTGAGCCTAATCTTTTGTTTGGATTCTTCTTATTTGTGGGAGGTGCAAGAAATTGCAAGAGGAGGAAATTCAACAATTAGCCCAGTAGGTTTTCCCTCTCAGTGCCACATCTTAAAAATACATCTGATTGCAAATATCTTGAAGGAATTACTACTGAAAATACAGCACCAATATGAGGGGCCGGGGAAGACTCCTGCGACTGAGCACCAATATTTAACATTGTATTGATAGAGGAAGCATCTCTTTTTAAGTTATGTGTGTCACACTTAAATGTAATTTCCCCCCTAACAATATCCCTGGGATCAAGCTTGCAAATTAGTTTATTCTAGTTTAGCATCTAGTTAGCCATTATGCCTCCCCTAGTTTAACTAATTGTTGGTCAGTCTAATTGCTTTGGTGCCTTGCAATGACTTTATGTCTATCTTTATGGCCTCTTTATGGAATGCTCTACTTTTGGTGGGGGTGCCAGGCCCCTTTCCTCCTAATATTCAGAAACCACATACAAACATTGCTTTTTAGGGAAACATTTCAGGAGACCCTCCCTCAATAACTGTTTGATATTTAGTCTTATTTTTAGCAATTATATTTTGTAATTTTTAGCTCATCTGTTGCCACCATCCTGGGTTTTTAGCTGAATTATCCTCTTTTATATTTGTGGCCTGGGTGGGATAGTAGCTGTTCTTTATGTTTTTTATCGTTGGAAACAACCCAGAATACTGTAGTGGCAATGCAACTAAATGGTGTAATCAATCAATCAATCAATCAATCTTGCAAGGGTTTGGCAAACCCACAGTTTATTGATGCAGAAATAATCACCCATACATTTTCCTTGCTCAGTCTTTATTTGAGTGATAAATCAGTGGATGTTTATGCTCATCATGCCACAGAACTTTGACCAAAATGCCCACTGGTTAGCTGGATGAGGCCTGTGTCCCTTATGAAAAAAGAGAGTGTGTAAAGACCTTTGCTCCTGAGTGGAAGACCTAAGGCTGCCTCTTTGTGTGGAATGTTCTTCTTATTAAAAGGAATATATGTATCTTAATGCACAAAACAATTACCGTACATTTTGAATCCTTTCTGTTTTACAGATGAAGATGAATGTCAGTTGAATCGCTGTCATCCAGATGCTTTTTGCTATAACACACCAGGCTCCTTCACATGCCAGTGTAAGGCAGGCTATCGTGGGGATGGTTTCCAGTGTGTGACAGGAGGTAAACAATTTTTAAAATATTTAAAATAAAATTATTGGCAATTATGTATAATTCTATTTAAATGGGAAGAATTGTGCACTGTGTATTGTGATCAGAACTCTCTGATCAAATAGATTTTTTGATGGTGTTATTTCATTAGTTTATCTTTTTAAAAAAACTTTAGGAATGTTCACAGGGCAATCTTATGCAGAAATAAGCCACATTACATTGAAAGGGAGAAAGTTGCCTTGGCTGCAGAGAAACTGCCACTGCACAGAAACTGCTTGCCATGTGGTGATAGCTGCAAGATGGAACCGTCTTAAAACTGTATTGATATTGTGGTTGTAACATGCCTTGTGTCCCCTTTCTTTACATCAAACGACAGTAATTCTTTTGTTTTTCTCTTCAGTGGTTTATGAAAAAAGTCTAGTGATCTTTTGGTTTCTGGTAGTCTATCCAAACAAGAGGCTGGGGCTTCTCCAACCTACAGGCTATACAGTGGGCCCTCGACTTACAAAGGCCCTAGTTGTGAATGTTTCGGGTTACGAACCCGATCTCATCGCAAGTAGCAGACCCTACTTGCGAACGCAGATCGAGTTACGAACCAAAAAAGGCAGGGAGAAAGGGCGGGAAGTTCGAATTTCCTGCCCTTCCTCCCTGCCTTTGGAGTTTTCAAAAGGCTTCTTCCGACATCAGAGGCAGCCCTTTGAAACCTCCGAAGCCAAAAAGGAGAAAGGATGGGAAGTTCGAATTTCCTGCCCTTCCTCCCTGCCTTTTTGGCTTCGGAGGTTTCAAAGGGCTTCCTCCGGTGTCAGAGGAAGCCTTTTGAAAGCTCCAAAGGCAGGAAATTCAAACTCCCTGCCCTTTCTCCCTGCCGTATTGGCTTTGGAGCCACCGAAGCTCACCCAGCAGAGGGAGGCTAGAGCTGGCTGGGCGCTTGGCCGCTCGCCCTCAGCCGCGTGGAGGCAGCGGAACACTGGCAGGCTTCGGACTGGTAAGTCCTTTTTAAGTTAGGATACTATAAACATTAAATGAAGGAAATATTCACAACTCTTCTTGTTTCTTCTTTTCATTCTGTCTTTTATCTAAAGAACTATTATTTGTCTTTTATTTACAGAATCAGAGAAAACAAAATGTCAGCGGGAACAGGAACAATTTGTGGCTCTTGGTCCAAGGGGACCCAGGCCTGTTGGCCAGTTTATTCCTCAGTGTGATGTGTATGGAAATTATTTGCCAACCCAATGCCACAGAAGCACTGGATATTGTTGGTGTGTAGACAGAGATGGTAATGAAATTGATGGAACGAGAAGTGGCCCAGGAATCAGACCACCATGTAAGTGGCCCGTGAGCCATTCAGTTGTTGCAGCAGTTTTCAGGATTTATATTCTGATGTTATGGGCATTTAAATCACAGGCATACAGCTCCATTTCATAATTTTTACACACGTAAGCTGTGTGATGTCCATGTTGTTTAGCCATATTGGCATGACCGAGCAGAAAGTCCTAAAACATGGCAATCTGGTCACTTGCCTGAGGAGCAGCTCCATCTTTTGAGACAAGGAATAAGGAAACAAACAAATGAGCTTGGTTTTCGAAATCTGTTCTTACCCTCCAAGGCCATCAGATAGGATAATGCTTTATGTCTTTGTTATTGATTACATTTCAAAAATTCTACAGGTTCCTGCTAGTATCTCCAAATTGAAGCAGTTGTTGTTATATGACATCAGATAAGTCTGCAGTGGTTTGTATCACACAGGTGGTGAAATTCATAAATGGGAGAGGTATAACAAACATGACTTGAATTATTCACAGTTTTATTTCCCTATTAATTTTTCATTTCCACTGTGGGAAGTAAAAAGGAAAAATGACATTTGTGTAAGGGCAGCCACTAGAATGATTCTAATTTTCTTCCCCCTTTCAGTCAGATGGAAAATAGGTGTGGGAGTTTGTTTATCTTGATCTCTTGGTGGCTTTTGCTGTCATTAGCAATGAGGGCATTAACTCATACCCACTCACACAGTATTGTGAACATGAGGAGAGAGTGTAAGATTGTGCTTGCTAATACTCCCTGCCAACAGTGAGTTTGGTTTCCATATAAAGGGACTGTATTTCCTCATGCATATAAATCTCATATAAGAGGAATCTGCGCCATTTGTGTGGCATGTTTTATATAAAAATGACTTTGAATTGTCACAGATTATTATGGATCTATACTGTGTCCATGAAGTGTGGATTAGGATATATTGCTCAGACCTTATACATATTTTATGACATGCAGTGATTTTCAGTTTGCCTCCAAGCCTCTTGATCCTAGCAGTTGCCTCATTGTATAAGATGGTTCCTTAGGGACAGTGTTTATTAGTTTATAAATAAATGAAAACATGTTTTCTCAATATGGGAATAAGACAGGTGTTTGATATTCTGTATAAGTAGGGTGGATATCTTGATATTCTTTTGTCCTCGTCCCTTGCAGAAAGAAATGTAGGCACTGAATGGCTGTGTCCTACAATTCCTTCCCCTGTTCCTCTCCTCTTCCTTTTTCTTCTTTTTCTAAGGTTAAGGGTATGAATCAAGTCAATTCATGTAATTCTCATCTTTTCCTTTTAATAGGCAGTGCAAGGCAGTGGTGTTAGAAATAAGTCTATGAAATTGGTAGAACTCATGCCCTCAAGTACAGGTGCATGACTCTGGTTCAAATCTTTGGTGGTTAAATATACTGTATCAAACTTTGGCTGTATTCTGTATATTTTTAATGTAATCTGGTCTTGCAGATGATATTTGCATAGTCTTAACTACATGTGTTCTCTATTATTTGTCAATCAGGTCTAGGCACAGTTGCCCCTCCTGTTGTTGTTGGTCCCTCTGTAAAACCAGATACATTCCCTCTGCCTCCAGGAACGCACTTACTCATTGCTCAGAGTGGAAAAATTGACCATGTCCCTCTAGAAGGGAGTGATATGAGAAAATCAGATGCGAAAGCTTTGCTATATGTACCAGTAAGTACACCTTGAACAGAATGTGAACAAGATTTGAAAAACATGAAAACAAGATTTGAAAAAAGTGTTGCCATGAAAGAATGAGTTTAGTATGAAGAGCCATCACACATCTGAATTGTAGGTGCAACTTCCTTTCATACACTGTATATTTTGGGGACTGTGAGTGGGTTGCCAAGGCAGCTGCCTCTAGCAGGCTGTCTAGCCCAAGCCAAAACCAAGGGACCTACAACGGAGACTCCGAGAAGTCCAGGACTAGAGGAGAGCAGAGCTTGAGCCAGGCACACACAGAAGCATTGCTCTCTGAGGATGGTGGGGCTGATCAGGGAGACACCGCAGCAAGTGGGGAAAAGAATAAGGTTTTTAGAGGAGGGGGTGACAATGGAGCAGGATATGTTATGAGAGAGCCCTAGATGAAAAAGGAGGCTAAGAGGAGATAAAGGGAAAAGTAGTGAATGAAAATGGAGAGGGTAAGGAATAGCACTCAGACTGGGAAGATGAAGGGGCTTGGGGTGATACCCTAGAGCAGTGGTCCCCAATCTTTTCCAAATCGTGGACTGGTTGGGGGGGTATGTGTGTGGGAGGCAGGGCATGCTTGAGGGTGGGCGGGGTGCGCTTGTGCACGTTCGCGAATGGGGGCACGCTCTTGGGTGGGTGGGGTGCACATGCATGGGGCCAGGGCAGAGCACCTGTGCGTGGGGGTCAGCAGGCTGTGCATGTGTCAGCAGGCTGTGCATGTGTGTGGGTGTTCATGCACTGAAGACCCCTGCCCTAGAGGACTTTGAGGAAGACTACAATGCAGAAGGAACCATAGAGCTAGAGGGTGAATGGGACTATGTGAACAAAGAAGATCCATGGAGGATGCTTAAGGACACGAGGAAGAAATATTGTTGCCCTGCAGCATCATGTGGCCCTAGCTACAAGGGCAGGGAAAGACTAGGACAGTGACCCCAACCTGGGCCAGGCTTGGCAGAGGCAAAGAGAACTCAAGAAGATATTCCAGCAGCAGCCCAAGCCACCTCAGCCCATGGTCCAGAGGGGGATATGAGACAACATTGGCCCCTTCTCCCTGCTGCAAGTATACTGGCCTGTACTACTTAAGGCCTCCAGCTTCAGTGCCTCATGGCATGTGCTAGAGTGGACTCAAACACCCAACACCCCAGAGCTCTTAATTTGGCAGGTGGGGCAAGTGTAGCCAAGGTTGGGGTTGGTTGTTGGGGCTGATAGGGCCCTGAAACCATTTTAAAGGATCTTAGGTCACAGTTAAAGAGAGAAAAAATGGGGCCCAAAATCTTGAAATTAGGGTCATGTAATTATTTCTGTTTTGAGAAGATGCCCCTCCCCCCCAAGTATGCTGCTGTTACACAATATCTTTACAATTTCTGTTGCTTCCAGGATAGCCTCTCAAAGCTATCATAAACAAGGTTGTATTCTTCATGGAGCTATTTTCATTGGCTTCCTAAGCATGTCAGAATCTCCTGTAAGTTTTCCAGTGTTTTAAATAGCATTTGAGACTCTTGAAGTTCAGCTGCTCTTATTATTTGGTGGTCAATTTTTATGTGATATATAAACATCCTTCACTGAGCTCTTTAGCTTCCTTTCCTTGACATTGTCTTCTGCTGTAAAATGTAGGATCTGTCTTAATACGGTATTGTCTTGTATGTTGGTCAGTCTTCTGTACTTTTCCATGTGTTTCTTTTCTAGCCTCTCCTCTATCCTTGGCCTCAGTGAGCAAGTAAGTCATTTTCCCATCCTCCCATTTTTCTTCTTATATACTGTTGCTATGTAATGGCTTCCTGACGCTGTTTTAACTTTTACCTTTTTTATCATACCTTCTGAATCTTTGCATTATGTCTTTCCCTACTGAAGCCTAAGTGCCCTTCAGGTTTGTGCTTTAAAAAAAATGAAGTGGAACACTTAACAATATAATAAGAATCTAGTGGGAGATACCTACTGCTGGTACTGTTATTGCCAGCAGTATTGGAGAAGGGCAGAGAAATGCTGATTTTCTCTAAGAAATTTCCCCTCTCTACTTCCACTCCCCAACTGTCATCCACCCCAAAACTGCTGTAGATGTCTTGGAAATCCTCCAGACCCCCTTTTTTGGTGGGCAAGGGGGAGAAATGTCAAGGGCAGCAAAGGGAAAGGAATGGGAAGGAAGTTCAGCAATTAGCACTGTAGGACCAGTATGATGGTGAATTTAGGTCGAGACATTCTGGATGAGCTGCATTTCATCATGTTTTGTTGTCCATGTTCTAATTCTTAGTTATGGATACATGTATGGGCACCCAGCTGCAACTGTTCTAGGAGTCACTTAAGATGATAGCCAAAGTAAGCAAATAATAATATAGTGAATTGTCATGTTGGCTGAATAATGTAAACATACTGTATATCTTTAGCAAGTCTGATAGGCAAATGGGACATACAAAGATATAGTAGAGTGTCTGGAAACAGGAATAAATATTAAGAACGTTGGCGTTTCTGCCAGCAGAATTATTGGAGTCAATGGAACTAACTGGAAGTTCATTTCAAAATAAAGCAGTTCACTATTTTGCTATTATAATGACAATACTAATTCTCCATGTGGTTATGTAGCACATTTTGGATTCTTTTGAAGCCTAAACTATCAACCTGTTTTTGTAGTCCATATTTGGTGCTTTTGAATAGTGAGTGATATCCTGTACAGAGTCAAAGATAACCTATCTAGCCCTATATTATCTATCATAGGGATAGGCAGATTTAATGCTTATAGAATAGAGCATGAACCTTGTGTTTGATTTGGGTTTTTACTACTTTCATTTGGTTTAAGGTTTTTTTGCCAGAACTCCAAGTTCCACCAACCAGTCACATGCACAAGGCATACATTTGAAGAATTATGACCTTAGAAATTAATGTTGAGTTCTTCCACTGCTGATTACCTCCATGCTTTCTTCATTTGGAGCAAGGGTGTGGAAAGCATCATTTTGTAGTTAAACAATTGAATGTCACACTATAGGAGTGCATCCGAAGAAGTGAGAGTGGAAGAAAAATAGCTACTGGTGTTATTCTGCAGAGGCTTGCATCTCATTCCATCTGATGTTACTGTGCTCAAGTTCTGTACCAGATGTGTAGGTACAGCTTGCCTAACTGTGGCATGAGCTGTACAGTACCACTGGATGTAGTGGTATTTAACACACAGCATTCTAGTGTCAAGTGTGAAGCAGCTGTTCCATGAGTGAAAGACAAGTTTTGGCTTGAACCCACCACTTACTCTCTCTGCTGCTGCTGCTGTTTCTAATGACTTAAGATAGTACTAAAACATGATGAGCAAGATGTTCCTTAACTATCCGCCATGATTCTTCTTTTCTTTTGTGGTCAGCTGCCATCTTTTCCCATATGGTACTACCAACTAGTGCAGTAGGCTCATTCTTTCCCCAGCCTTTTAACATACGGTCTTTACTTATAGGTAACTTAGGTGTTTTAATCAAGGTGATACTTAATTTCTTTTAGAATAAGAAATGTGACACAATTTGAAACTTGCACTACTTGTAATAGTTTGTCTCACTTGCAGGATAAAGTTGTTATTGGTGTTGCTTATGACTGCATGGAGAAAATGGTTTACTGGACAGACATCAGCACCCCATCCATCAGTAGAGCAAGTTTGGGTGGAGGAGAGCCAGTATCCATTATAAAAACAGGTGAGGCTGCGTATGTTTCTACTTTATGATATCGGACTGCATCTGTTTTGTATTCTTCTTTGATCTACGGGAGGAATCTAGCAGAGGCTTTCGTCAGCAGAATAGGGAGAGGGCTGATTATAGGCCGTCCACCCTTCTTCTACAACCTCCTGTTCTTCCTCCCATACTGTTTCAAAGGGTCCCTTGGCACTCTGGAGCAGATTTGGAAGGTACAGACTGTAGGGCAGGTACAGGAGTTGCCAAAATGCCCCATTTTTCTATTCCAAAGATGAAAACCTTTGCTTGATCTAAAAGCTTTCCATCAGCTAAGAAAAGCTAGTATACCACTAAGTCTAAACCAAATAACTGGTTCTGACTAAAACAGACCCACTGAATCACTTAAATGTTGGCTTTTACGTAAAGTGTCACATGGCTGTGAAAAACATAAATGCTATTTTAGGGTGCATTAATGGAAGTATACTCTCCAAATGACAAGAAATATTAGTCCGCCTCTATTCAGCGTTGCTTAGACCTCATCTTGAGCAATGTGCACAGTTGTGGACACCACACTTTAAGAAAGATGCAGGCAAACAGGTCAGAGGAGGGCAATAAGAATGATCAGGGTTCTGGAAACTAAGCCGTATGAGTAAAGACTGGAAGAACTGGGCACATTTAGCCTTGAGAAGAGATTACTGTTAGAGCAGTATGGCTATGGAACCAATTATCTCAAGAGGTGGTGAGCGCTCCAGTGCTGGAGGCATTCCAGAGAAAATTATGCAACAATCTGTCAGATCTGCTTTGATTTGGATTCCTGCATTGAGCAGGGAGTTGGATGCAATGGTCTTATAGTTCCTTCCAACTCCATTGTTCTATGATTCTATGATTCAGCATTTAATTCAGGGGTTATAGCTGGAGTTTGTAACTGGGTTTCTAGCGTCAGAATTCACATGGAGGCTCAGTGTTTCCTCTTGCTTTTAGAACAAAGTGTTGTTCAGGGCATAGGGAGAAAAAAAGAGAAAATCCTGTTGCTTAGTGTAGCAAGTCACACCAGAACAGGCCCATTGAATCAATGGGAATTTGTTAAGTTCCATTAATTCAAATGGGCCTACTCTAGTTACAAAGTATTGTGCTAAAGTAAGTTGCAACTAGAATATTCTCATTTTAATTAGTGGAACTTACAGAGCAATTGTCTTACCAAGTCCTGACTGAGTCAATGGGCCAAGTCTAGAGCAGCCTACTATACTAAGCAACAAGATTTCGGCCATAAATTTCCTATGTGTTAATAATGACCATTGTTGTTGTTTAGTCATGAAGTCGTGTCCAACTCTTTGTGACCCCATGGACCAGAGCATGACAGGCCCTCCTGTCTTCCACTGCCTCCCGGAGTTGGGTCAAATTCATGTTGGTAGCTTTGATGACACTGTCCAACCATCTCGTCCTCTGTCGTCCCCTTCTTCTCTTGCCTTCACACTTTCTCAACATCAGGGTCTTTTCCAGGGAGTGTTCTCATGAGATGGCCAAATTATTGGAGCCTCCACTTCAGGATCTGTCCTTCCAGTGAGCACTCAGGGTTGATTTCCCTGAGTGTTCACTGGGAATACAGTATATGCGTATACAAATGACCATAGTATACTGTATTGTTAAGCTTAAATGCTGTAAGAGCCAGACTAAAAAATGCAAGCACTGAGATTCTATATATTTAGTTTGATTTTGCTGTAACAATATTGCAGAGAATTTTGACCATATAATTAAGTAGAACATAGTAAGTAGTATAACTGCCCATTATGCATGTCCCCTCAAAAGTAATTCCTATGATGTTCAGTTGGATTGCTACTTCTGTTACAAACAAACAAAAACCACATTAAGTTCCATCATCTAGTTGGTGAGTTTTACCTGGGAACAAAATTAACTGGATCATATATAAAAGTAGATGTTCTCTTATTTTTTATTTGGATTACTACAAATGTAACTGTATAGTGAAATGGGGCAGGAAGCACAAACCAAATTGGTGCATAGGAAGCAAAAGTGAAATTTGCAAGATGACAAATCCAATCAATTTTATAACCTATTCTTTAGGTTTTAGTTGTGATATTTACCACATTTCAGATGTTTGTGTGCTTTTAATGCTATTATTTTTATTGGATATGGTGGGATTGCTTTGTGCTCTATAATGTAACCTGTTCCAGCTCTTGCCTATCTGTTCAGCTGCTTTGCTACAAATTATATGAGCTTCCCAAGTTCCACAGCTGCAGATGCCTACCCCACAGGGACAAATGTTCCCCCATTGCAACATAACAAATTTGATCTGTTGTCTAATGCTTCATAAACCTGCCTGCTTCAAGCCTGTGAAGCTACAGTTTCTTCCAGAGGCTTGCAGTAATACTATTAATGCAAACAAACTGCAAATAATTGCTGTTGAAATGAGGGCAGGGATGCTCCATGAATACCCAAATGTGATTTGGGCTCGTGTCTGGCTACTTGTCAATCAATCAGTCTGGAAAGAAATTTTACACTAGGCCACATTGCTACATTAACTCTTTTGACTAGTGTCTGAGATATGAAAGATAGCCAAAGAATAGCTTGTTGAGTTTTCCTCAAGACATCCGACATCAAATTAAAAATATTTGCAAATACTTGATATCAGGACACATTTAAGATACTCTACAAGTGTAATAGAAGGAAGCTCCTACGGAGCCTTAGTCTTTGTGAAAATTGAATAAATTCTCCAATATGCACTGAAAAGAGAATTTGATGCTGTTTGATCTCAGTTCCCGGAGGAGACCTTCTGCAAATCTCTGCCTTGAGTAGGATTTATAGATTTCTGTTGTATGTGTTAACATACATCTTATGTTAACACATACAACCTCTGGCATCAGACCCAGACTCAGAATATTGCAGTGAGCAAATTTTTCCAGAAGTTTAAAGTCAAACATGATGTGTGGAAATATTTTTTTTTAGTTAACTTTATTGTGGGCAGTGTACTATCCTAGCATGCTCAGTTGACCCAGTTGATATGCTTGGAGATGAAATCTTCCACCAAAAAGTACATAATTAGAGAGTGATCATCAAGTGTAAGGATGTGTCACTGGAGACCAAGACCAAAATTACCTACACTCTTGAATTTCTGATCACCATGTATGGGTGTGAAAGCTGGACAGTGAAGAAAGCTAACCCGGGGGTGGCAAGAATTGATTCATTTGAAATGTGGTGCTGGAGGAGAAATTTGCAGATACTCTAGATTTCCAGAAAGACAAACAAGTGGGTCCTACATTAAATCAAGCCTGAACTATATAGCTGGAGGCAAAAATGCTGAAACAGAGTCTGTCCTACTTTGAGCATATCATGACAAGGCAGGATTCTCTGGAAAAAATAAATACTGGGAACGGTGGAAAGCAGCAGGAAAAGAAGAAGACCAAGTATGAGATGGGCTGACTCCCCAAAGGAAGTCGCAGGCAGGGCTGTTAAGGACAAGATATCTTGGCAATTGCTCATTCATAGGGTTGCTGTTAAGTCAAAAGTGACATGATGGCACATAACTACAACAACATAAAGAAAAGAATTGAAAATGAAGTGTTCTCCCTTCTTCCATAAAATGAAAAAATAACTAGAGTGTGGATCTTGACTGCTGCATGTTCATGATATTGAAAACATTTTTTAAAATATGTCATCTTATGTTAGTGAGTGTTACCATCTATACATACATACATGTACCTATATGTGTGCATACAGGACAGACAGGAAGGCAGAGTTTATGTAACATTTAGCTCAAATGAAATTATATTCAGATGCCTGGCCTCTGTTGTAAACGAGCAAACCTTTTCTTTTGAATACATCAGAGTGGTTTGTTGTTGTTTCATTAAGCAGAAGTAATTGCACTTTGAAACCTATATGGCTTGTTTTGAATCATGTATTCCAAAATCTGTGTTTCATCTCATGCATAGCCCCTGGGGCTAGCATAGTAGGTCATTATCTGCTGTTTCCTGTTGCTTTAAACCTGGACTTTGTCCAATAAAAAATGCACATACATTTCACACACTTGTTCCAGACTTAAATGTATTCTCCGAGACTGAACTTTAACATTATCTGCTGTTTCCTGTTAAACCTGGACTTTGTCCAATAAAAAATAAAAAATGCACATATATTTCACACACTTGTTCCAGACTTAAATGTATTCTCCAAGACCTTTCTGAACTTTAAATCTTCCTTTGTTAACAAAGATGAAAAATACTAGTTTTTTAAAAGCTGATTACTTCTCCAAAGCTTGTTTTTGAAAAGTAGGTATGGAGTTAAGTTTATGGTTCTGTTATCAGAAATGTGAACTGCATTTTCTGCTCTTTTTATAAACATAGTTTTTTAAAAGCTGATTACTTCTCCAAAACTTGTTTTTGAAAAGTAGGTATGGAGTTTAATTTATGGTTCAGTTATCAGAAGTGTGAACTGCATTTTTTTGCTCTTTTTATAAACATATTTTAGATAATTTCAGACCATACAGCTGGTGGTGAAGGCTTCTGGGAGTTGCAGTCCAAAACTCCTGAGTAACCCAAGGTTAAGAACCAGTGAGTTAGATAATTGCAGACCACGACACTGGTTGGCAGTGCTTGTTTTGATTTTTAAGATGATGAAATGCTGTTGTATAATGGCATCTCTGTCTGTGAAATCATTTCTTCCATAGGGAACTGTGCATCTGTCTGTTTCAGACTGATGGAGTGTTTCCTGACTTTCTTTCCCTCTTCCTCTCTTTCTCTGATGTGCCAGTTAGTGGAACTAGTTGCTGGAACTAATACTCTCATTCAAGAGAGCCCTTCACAGTGATACCCATTATATCACTTAGGACTATGTGTGGTTCATGCTGCACAGTTCCAGAATGTGTTGATAGAAACAAGTTTCCAAGATCTGGGTCAGTAATTAAGTCTCCTTTAGAACCAAATTTTAAAAAGACAGGCAGTAAGGTCAAATATTTGAAAACCCAGCCCTTTAAGCCTTCTATGAGCCAGTTTTTTTCTCATATGTTGCCCTTTCTCCACACTTCTTTCACATGTAGCTTGGAAACTTGGCTTTGAGCAAAATAGGGGTTTTCAAGAAAAAATTAAGGCTATAACACTATGTATATAATGCTTTGAAGTAAGCTGACTGTACACCTGTTTTGTTTATTTGATTGTATGCCCATCCTTTTCAGTGCTTGAGCTAATAATAAAATACAGTAAAACAAAAAAGTTGTGATTGAAACATTAAAGCTACCAAATCCAATCAAGCATAACATTTCTTTTATTTATTTTTTTCAAAAAAAGGGGGGTACCCAACAGATTTAGAGACCTTTTTAGCTGTAACCAAGGACAGCCTGAGTCAAAATACTTTTGGCTCTTGATGGAAGGGCAGCAGAGCTGCAATTAGCCTGGCTTTCTTTGGCAGGGAATTCCAATTTCTAACATTAGAACTCACTTAGGTTCTTGGACTTTGGTGGAAAGGAGAGATAGAATTGGTTGTCCTATGCATGCTAATGGCAGCAGACTCCACACTCTGCATAACTTTTTGCTGTGGTTTCATTATTAGGTTAAATAAATGCAGAATGAGATGGAACCCCAAGAGACAATGTGGACTAAGGGTCACTGCACAAAACAACACTGGTCTAGTACTAGCTGCTAAATTTTCCCTCCAAGTACCAGTGTGACAGGAAATCAGTGCCTTCAAGATCCATTTTAATGCATCTGGATTATTATTTCCTGAATAAATTGGCCTAACACCATGGACTTAGATGCTTGCTTGAAAACATGGGCACAGGTGAACTGAAAGGTTATGCTGCTATGTAATGCGTACTGTATAATTTCTACATCCAGCAAAAATGGGGAAATGTAGTTATCTAGTTTCTCATACACTTCTGAGGTGGAGCTCCGTATTGAATGAGTTCTTAAGGAGGGATGTGTCTTTCAAAAATGTCATCCATTCCACAAGGAAGGAATGATTAATTCTTTCAGAGCTTGCACTGAATTTGTAGCTTTCCCTCAGTTTTCCAATTTATTCCTCTAACTACTGTAGAGGAGATGTTCTGTCCCATATATCTGTAGATGTCCCCTTCCATACGTGATTTGTGTGCATAGAATTGTTGTCTTGATAAACTATAACAGGATTTGTCTCCTGTTTTTCATATAGGAGTGTAGTATTTGCACAAGCTATGAAGAATTTCAAAACTGAACATCAAATCTGAAAATGCCTTTGTACAATTAGGACTGTAAGCTAAAACATTTATATTGTATTGACATAGCAAGCAGTAGTGACAGTGATCTCATAATAAGGCCCAGTATGTACTTGATTTCCTCATCAAATCTGCATGATCATTCTTTTTTTTTTCAAAATTTGTTATCTGTATTTTTATTTTCCATTGTTTTGGTAGGTATTTGGAGAAAATTAAAGGACTTGTGGGATTAAACAAATGCTTCAAAATCCAGTTTTGCTTTTGTTGTTGTTGAAATGGAAAGTGCTCAAGTCTTCAAAGCTGAACTGGGAATTGGCTGACAATTTTAACTTCTCTTATTGTAACAGCAGTCAATGTAAAGCAAAGCAAAGCGTGCTGCTTATATACTACCCCAATGTAAATCAAGTGAACTGTATAGTTTTTTCCCCCCGCTATCATTTCCTTTCTGTTGTTCTAGACTTGGAGACTCCAGAAGGAATAGCACTGGATTACCTTGGGCGCACTATCTTCTGGACTGATTCTCAGCTCGACAGAATCGAAGTAGCAAAGCTAGATGGCAGCCAGCGTCGAATACTCTTTGACACTGGCCTTGTGAACCCTAGAGCCATCGTGGCCGATCCTATGAGAGGGTAGGTAAACTCCTTGTCAACATGCTGCATTTTTCAGAGTTTGGAAAATTTACAAGAAAGTACTAAGAAGAATGAATAAAGACCAAGGAATCTTTAAATATGTAGGCCACATAATGGCTGATTTACAGGCATCATTGTTTTTTCTTCTGATATACAAGGACAAATTCATTAACTTGTTTTATAGGCAGAAAGCCAACTCTTTTCAACAGGCCAATCTCTGTCTCATATAACTGCAAGTGGGAGGTTGCTGGGGTCAACTATGGAACAATCCTCCTGCAATTACTCTCTGCAGTTGCTCACAAGATTCTGGTGATAAAATGCAGAAATTGACAATGCTTCAGTCAATAAAATATAAAAAGTACAGGTTGTTACAGCTAATCATTCACAGTAAAATAAATAGGAAAATAAGTGCAAGAAGAAAAGGAAGCTGGTTCTAGAATCTGGGAGAGTAGTGTGGAAGCAGCACAATGTCACTGTCTAGAGTTGTTACATTCAAAATCAGTAGGGCAATTATGATATTTAACCTTTGGTAAGCAAGAAACAAGAAGTAGAGTTTCAGGGTTTGTTTATTTGTTTACTTGTTTGGGCTACGGAGATTCTTGTGGCACTTTAAAGACTAACACGTTTATTTGGCATAAAATTTCATGGACTGCAGCCCTCAAAAGCTTATGTCTAATATTATTTGATAGCCTTTAAAATGACTCAAGACCCTTTGTTTTTGCTGAAATAGACTTTCATAGCTACTCCCTGGAAACTCCTAGAATCATTTTTTTTAACCACATATTCATGGGTAGGTCAATCGATTTCAATACTCTTTTAAGATTCTTTTCATAGTGCATAGTAACCTAACAGGCTGTCATATTCCTTGATTCCTTGCAGAAATCTTCAAATTCAAATCAGATTATTACAGGAACTCGAAACTGTTGTTGCCATTTCTGTTCATTTTGCTTTGAGTGTTTATAGGTTAAAGACCATTTTCCTCCCAAGTTATAAGTCATAGTAAAAGTCAGATAATGAAAATCCCAGACCATGTTCCAGTTGGCTTCATGCGTGTAGCTTGGATGTACCTTTAATTATTGGCTGTCATCCAGATATTCTTTCAAAAGTTCCCTCCAGAAAACTCTCTCCCTTTCTTCTCCTTCTGCTGCTCACCATCTGCTTCAGAGAGACTTCTTCTAGACTCTCCTTTGATCCCCATTTCAAAAAGAGGATCCTGGACCGGAGGGTTCCAGCTTTTCCAGAGAGAGCTCCTCTCTGGAGTTGCTGGCAGCACCGCAACAAAGCCCCGCCTCCGACACCTAGTTGCTTCTTGAATTTCCTTTCATTTACATTGCAGATTGGGGAATGGAGAATAATAATTCTATGCCTTCAAGTCAGTTCTGACTTATGGTGACCCTTTCCAGGATTTTCTAGGGAGAGAATACACAGAAGTAGTTTCCCATTCCCTTCTTCTGGAGGTGTCCTGGGACTGTCCAGCTTGCCAATGGCTACACAAGCTGGTTCTTCTCCCAAAGAAATAGTGGGGAATCAAACTTCAAACTTCCAGTTTTGTATGCAAATAACTAAACCACTGAGCTATCGAGCCAGTCATGTTCTACTTGTATTTCAAACATGTTACATACAGCAGTAGAAAGTATTTTCTCTGTGGTTGTGTTTTCACTGATTTGCAGCTGTGTTTATCCTTTTAATATTAGTAAGCTACATGCTCTGAGGCCGAAATCCAAGTGAAGAAGCAATGTACGTGTAAGAAAAATCATATCAATAGTTTCCTAGTTCCCTGGCTTCCATGTGATATGTCTGGTTATGTGATGGATTACATAGACCTATGAAGACTCAATGCACACCATACAACCAGTTAATAAATCTCTTTAGATATTATATGTTGCAAGCCAAGTTGTGCAGTCAGTGTGCAAGAACTAATGTCTATGGAGATTTCTTAACTTATAGCAGTTCATGTCTAAAGGTTATGCTGTTTGCCTAACTGCACAATAGAATTTCAGCCAATGAAAACCTAAACATGTTACTCAGAATAAAGTTTCATTGAGTTCAATGAAGCATATTCTCAAATAGAATTTAAAGGATTGTTTCATAACTCAAAATCTCCAGCCAGTTGTCAAGGGTTTGGAGGCTTGAAGTCCAAAACACAGATGCTATGAATCACTAGTTTAAAGCATTGCAGCCTAGAAGGAAGAGTAATATTTGCTCAATTTGCCATTTAGGTTACTTATGCCTTTAATTGTGTTAACCAGGGAGAGATTTCCCCCCTACACCTTATTAACATTGCAGCAATATGTTTTGTTTACATTCTGTTTTCTCTTTGCATATTTAGAAATCTTTATTGGACCGACTGGAACAGAGAGGCTCCTAAAATAGAAACATCATACATGGATGGCACAAATAGAAAGATTCTAGTTAAAGATGATTTGGGGCTACCAAATGGACTGACATTTGACACATACGCTTCGTTGTTGTGTTGGGCAGATGCAGGTAAAGGCTTATCCACAGTGAGAATGAACTAAATTGATGAACTGCTAGCTGTAAAGGGGCAAGAATGCAGTAGTGATCGTTCGTGATTTTAGTGTCACATTTTAGCACAAAACGTACAATTATTGCCATGCCTGTTCTCTGCGACTCAAAGGTAGGTTCCCAAGTGATGGCCTTGTGGAGAATTGGTCTTGGCTCAGTCTCTAACCTTTGATCTTTGAGCTTCCTGTATCACTCTGGCCAGTGATAGGTGGATAATCCTCTGAACTTGCCCTTTGTTGGTTGCTGTTCATTCCTGTAGAGGCACTCACTTTGAACATATCTGTCTCTCTTTCTGTCCTTTGATACTGCAGATATTAAAGAGAATGGTAACTGAACCATTTATTTCTTGCCTTTTTTACTAATAACAAACCCATGTGGTGGCTCTTGAGTTGAAATCCAGCTATTCCACTTCTATTTTAACAAAGATATTATGGCAAAAATTCTAAAGAAAGAGAAATAAGGAGGCCCTGTGACAGAACACATTAGGACCAAGCTAATATTACTTTCAGAATAATTACCTCCCCAAGCACTAAAATTGGTTTTTAATTACAAAAATGAAGTACCATATCGTACAAAACACGTCATCTTACGATTACTGTGCCATATAATCTAAATTACCTTTTTAAAACGGAAGTCCTGAGCACTGCTTAAATACTTCTCTCTGATTTTAAGATATTTTACATATGGAACATTATCTTGAAGATGTGCTCTCATTTCTTACATAAATCAATTGCAATGCCTTTTATCAGACAATTGTATCTATATTTGTCTGTGGAGACAGAGTACTGTATATGGGTATGCAGTTATCCTATGATTTTAAGCTTCTGCCTCTTCATTGTCTTCATTGTGCTGATATAGCTGTGTGAAGAAGCTCATATCTTGTGGTCCTTTCATGTCTGTATATTCAGTCTTGCATTCTTTTTCAACATAATAAATCACTCACAACTGCAATTTTTGAGTAGGCTTCAGTGGTTCCTAAAAGAACTTTTGCTGCCATTGTACATAAATATGTCCACCTATACAAAGACCTTCATCCATCCATTCAAAACACCGACCTATCAGAGTTAGTAGTATTCTGAGCTGGGAATATATTTTATTGTATATAGTTTGGTTTAGATCTTGCACTAAATATTCCCCCAGAATATTATTTTCAGATGTTGCGTCATGTTCATGCCACTGTGGTCTGTGTTTTCTCATTACAGCTGCATTTTGTCCATGGGATCTTCATCTCACCCTCTCCCCTCTCTTCCAGGCAAAGCCTTTAATTGTGCAGTTGCCCTGTCTCACTCATGGTACTTTATAGAGAATCACAGGTCATCATTTTCCATTTGTTAGTTTTTGGCCATGAGAAAATTAATTAAGGAGAGGCAGATGAGCTAGTATACTTCTGGACCAAATTCAAGGTGCTGTTGTTGACATTCAAAGCCCTAAACAGTTTAAGACCTGGTTACTTATCAAAGTGCTTCTCCCTCCTCAGAGGGACCTCTTGTCACACTCGCACCTCCCAATCTGTGATGATATGGGTGGACACCCAAAAGGAGGCCTAGAAATCCACAATTAGGAACTGGGCCTTCTCAGTGTTGGCCACCAGGCTGTGGAACTCCCTTCTTGTGGCAGTGCATCAGACCTCTTCCCTCCTCCGCTTCAGGAAACAAGTAGAGCTGGCTCTTTACTCATGGTTTTCACATTCTTGCCCTTGTTTAATGTTTGGTCTCTCCAATTTTTGATGACCCACAAGCTTATAGGCTGATTGCTTGGGTTTGTCACCATCTTTTAACTTAGTATAGAATTTGCTATATATTTAGGTTGAGAGGGCTTTCTGTTTAATATTTTAACTGACATCATTATCAACTTTAGTTTATGTTTATGTTTTTATTGTAAGCAGCCCAGAGTAGTGGCCTGGGCATTAGATGGATGGAGGGGAAAAAAATGGAAGAGCTACATGTGGTCTTCTGACTGGTAGCATGAAAAGTATTCTATCTAGAAAACTTGCACACACAAACAACAGACATATGCAAACACATTCGCCTCTTTGTAACACATGCATGGCTTTTCATTTTTCACAAATAGGCTGCTTCTTGACAAAATGGTCAGTCTTTAACTCTCTTCCTCCTACCTTCAATTTATTTCTGCATATGTACATATATGCATTTAAATTTCAATAAATACTATTTAAGGTATTAGGGTACATAGAAATGTGGGTGCTTTTTGGCAGATAATACTCCTCGGAGAAACCCATGCATAAGCACTGTTACTATTCCATTATGCAATCTATTTATTTCAGGTTATTCTCAGGTTTTAGTAGTAAGTGTCTAACAGTCTATTTGGGTTAAAAGGATACTCATAAAGTTACTTATTTTTAAAAACTACCCTAGCAGGTAAGCCACAGGAATAGTTTGAACTAAAGAACAGTAAGAATCTCCTCAAAGAATATAACATGTATTTCAGGAACAGCCATATTTTAGTTTTACAGCACAAGAATAGTGAAGTTGGAAGGGGCCTATAAGGCCATCAAATCCAACCCCCTGCTTGCTCAATGCAGGAATACAAGTCAAAGGATATCTGCCAGGTGGTTGTCTGAGTTTCTCTTGAATGCCTCCAGTGTTGGAGCGCTCACCACCTCTCAAGGTAATTGATTCCACTGTATTACTGCTCTAACAGTTAGGAAGTTTTTCCTGATATTCAGTCAAAATCTGGCTTCCTATAACTTGAACCCATTGTTGCATGTCCTGCACTCTGATATGATCGAGAACAGATCCTGCCCCTCCTCTGTATGACAGCCTTGAAAAGTGTTATCATATCACCTCTCTGTCTTTTTTATCAAGGCTGAACATGCCCAGTTCTTTCAGTCTTTCCTCATAAGGCTTGGTTTATTGCCCCCTGATCATCCTTGTTGTCTTCCTTTGAACTTGTTCCAATTTGTTAGGATCCTTCTTGAAGTGTGGTGTCCAGAACTGGACACAATACTCAAAGTGAGGCCTAACCAGTGCTGAATAGAGGGGACTAGCACCTTGAGGGATTTGAAAACTATATTTCTTTTAATGCAACCTAAAATAGCATTTACCTTTTTATAGTCTTGGCTTGTGATCTATGACATATCCAAAATCCTTCTCAGTTGAAGTATTGCTGAGCCAAGTATCTCCCATCTTGTAACAGTGCATTTGGTTTCTTTTTCTGAGGTGCAGTATTTTGTACTTATGCCTGTTGAATTTCATTCTGCTATTTTCAGCCCAGTATTCCAGCCTATCAAGATCATTTTGAATTTTGTTTCTGTCTTCTAGGGTATTAGGTAGTCTGCTCAATTCTGTGTCATTTGCAGGTTTGACAAGCACTCCCTGCACTCCGTCATCCAAGTCATTAATAAAAATCTTGAAGAGCATTGGAACCAGAACTGAGCCTTGAGGTATCCCACTTGTTACCTCTGCCCAGTTGAAGAAGGAGCCATTAATCATCATCCTCTGAGTTCAGTTCTGTAGCCAACTGTGTATCCACCTGACACTTGATCTATCCAGCCCACACCTAGTTAGCTTGCTAATCAAGATTTCATGGGGCACTTTGTCAAAAGTGTTGCTGAAGTCAAGATATACTGTGTCTAGTGTTCCCTCTGTCTGTGAGGGAGATTACCCAATCAAAAAATGAGATCAGATTAGTCTAGCAAGATTTGTTCTTGACAAATCCGTGTTGTTTTCTAGTTATTACTGCATTGTTTTCTAGGTGCCTGCATAATGACCATTTTATAATTTGTTCCAGAATTTTCCCTGGGATTGGCATCAGGCTGACTGGCCTGTAATTCCCAGGTTCCTCTTTCTTGCCCTTTTTGAAGACAGCCCTCCTACAATCATCTGGCACCTCACCCATTTCCCATGATTTCAAGAAAACAATGGACAGAGGTTCTGAGAGTTCTTCAGCCAATTCTTTCAGTATTCTCAGATGTAGTTCATCCAGCCCTGGAGATTTGAACTTGTTCAAGGTGGTAAGGTACTCCTTGAATATTTGTTTACCAATCTCCAGTTGCAATCCTGTCCCCTCCACTTGCACTTCACATTTGTCTGGAGGTTCATAGTCCTGTGGGAAAACACTGAGCTAAAATAGGAATTGAACACTTCTGCCTTTTCTTTATCCTCATTTTTCCATTTCCATTGAGTAGCTGTGCCGTTATTTCTTTTCTTTATCTTGTTTCATACATACTTAAATAATGCCAATTGTTTTGCTTTTAGTGTCTCAGCTCAGCAAATCTCAGCTCATTCTCAGCTTTTGCTCTCCTAATGCCATTCCTGCATTTCCTTGCTACTTGTCTGTACTCTTCTTTTGTGACCTAGTCTTCCTTCCATTCCCTATACATGACATGCCAGAACACACTCATAGGAACAGAGAGAAAAGCCTCTCTTCATTGGCAGAATTTTTCTTTAAATAAAAAAAGATAAGGAAAACCTTGTTTACAGCTTATTAAGTAGTTCATTATAAACATGTATCCTGCAGGACTACAATAGAACTACATATAAGCTGCAAAAAAGACTTTCCTCCTCTCTCCCTGTGTAACCAGTTACTGCAAACAGATTCAGGAAAACCCAAATTCTCTGGTGCAACTTCACAGTGAGTGAATGCAAATGAATTTTCATTTCTCTTGCTGTGTAGTCACACTCTTAGTCTTATGTTGCTTATTGTGTTCTGTAGAATGTCTGCTGTTTATATCAGAATTCGCTAGGGTGTGATGGGGTAAAATTAAGATTTGTGTTAATGGGCTTTCTGTGTCCAGTGCCAAAGAATGAGTAGCGACCAATCAAAATAGTGATTATTCTTCACAAAAGTGAGTGTCTGAAAGAAATGTTGGAAGGGTTTGGCAGGGCTGAGCATAGCAGAAGTTTAGGGGAAACTCTGATTCCATGCATATTCCTTTTCTTGTGTCATGGTATTTTATTATCCTTCTAAAAGGACTGTTTGTTACACTCAAAGACCAAATTGTTTTTCTGAATACTGTATAGGCACCAAAAGGGTTGAATGTATGGATCCCAATCAACTTGTTCGGCGAAGAATCCTTGAAGGAATCCAGTATCCCTTCAGTATTACAAGTTACGGAAAGAATTTGTTTTATACAGACTGGAGAAGGTACAGTGATCTGTGTTTAAAAGCACTTGTTCTTTACTTCTCTCTCAACTGAGGATAACCAACTTTTGTCTTGTATAAACTCCAATCCTGTTTTTGTTTGTTGGCTTTTTTGGAGCAGTTTACACATTTTTCCTGAGGGGATGATGTCTTTGCTCCAGTCAAACAACTGGAGACTTTATAAGCAAGATGCATTTTTGTTGACTACTGTATTCAGTGGCTTCTCCTGAATTCCAAATTGTGCTTCCCATGAATCTGGAGCAATGCATTTTGAAAGGCATTGCCCCTGCTTTATGGCAGTGCTCGCTCTAATATATAATCCAGAAGCTAGTCGTGTGAAGGAGAGCACGAATCATAGATTTGGCAGTTTGTGCTGGTTCATTTATCATCTGAACAGATATTCAGTACTTCCCAGCCCTGCCTCTTCTGGTGGGCACCCACTCAAAGGCAGTGCCTGGAGGAGGTGGAGCAGGGAAGGTGGGGTGATGTCTCTGAATGGGCACCCACAATAGGAGGCAGGACTGGGAAGTGCAGATAATCCGTTTGGATGAAAAACGAACCAGCACGGACTGCCAGTTTGGCAGTCTGTGCCCATTTCTAGTGTGAAGTCCAGCTTCTTCCTAGTCAATGTACATCAATGCATTGAATCATAATAAGGAAAAAAAACTCTAGCCAGAATCTTTCTGTGAAATCCCACTTGCATAAGGGAAAGCGCACAATGAAGCATGTGACCTAGGTATGTCCAAGCATGCATCAGGCAGCCAGAAAGACCATGTATACCACTTACACAATTTTGGATGGAAGGAGATGGCCTTTTTAGGGAAATGTATCCACATAGTGCTGGTTTGTGTGCAGGATCTAGCTGGGGATGCTTCTATATCCACATGGACCTTGCTAGAATGTTGTGACCGAAAAACAGAATATTATCCAGAAGAGCCTTTAATGCAATTTCCAGCCTTAAGTCCTGAAGTCTTATACCTAAATATTCTCATGCTTTTATGATAACAAACAATTACTGGCCATAAAAGAATGGGCTCAGTTCCAAAGACTTTTTTTAAATGATCAAAATAATATAAGAGAAAGTTATTCAGTCCATGGAGCAAAACTTATTAAATTGACAAAATTAACAGGAAAGATTATGTGTTTTTTAAAAAATGTGAAAATATTTAATGGGAATGTTAGAAAAATTTACTAGATAAATTTATGGATAAAACACCGGGACAGATGCAAAACCCATCATATGAATCAATTTCCTTTCTCCTTCTGCTCCTACTCACATATCCACTAAACTGTTTCTTAATGCTGGAATATCTTTTAAAAAATCAGTACAGTATTCTGCAACAGGTCTTATGCCCTTCCTCATGTCCAAGGCTCATTTGGTGGTCCTGTCTCCCCACTCCTGAACTGCTGTTGGTTCCTTTCTTTCCTTCCCATCTGTTATTTTGATATTTGCTGGTTTTTACACCATAGAGATGCTGTGGTAGCCGTGGACCGCACAATCTCAAAAGAGAGCGATAACTTCCAGCCACACAAGCGCACTCGTCTTTATGGAATAACTGCAGCCTTGGCTCAGTGTCCACAAGGTAAAGTGTGGCCTTTTCCTTCTTTTTGGAATATTTTTACCATTTTGTAACTTGTACAGAACTGTTGCTATTCAAGAGCCCCTGACCAGTATCCCGTTCTGTGAATTTCCATCTGTCTAAGGGCAGTTAGGCAAGCATCCTCCCCACCTACTCCAGTGGGCTGTCCTTCATGCAGTCAGTCTTGTGATGCATTGCAAATCCCATTTCACAACCAGTCACATGAAGGACTGCTATTATGCAGATGGAAATTATGCCTGCTAGAGTGGGGGCCTATTTAGGTGATAGCTTTTCTGCTCCATGTTTACTCAAGGATGTATTGCCAAAAACTGATACAGAAAGTAGATAGGGGTAAGGTTGCTCTGGTTTGGTTTGGTTCTAGCATGTGTAGCTACTGGTTTCAAACCAAAGTGGATCTCTTAGCTTTCACTTCACTTAAGCTGCTACGGGATCTAACTTTTGCGTAGGTGGAAAGAATGCCACTTTTTAAAAGGTTTAAAGCAATATCCAGCTTTCTGCTGTTCCTCTGTGAAGGGGGAGACAGAGGAGGATGCAGAGGGTTTTTAAAAAATACATTTAGCATCCAGTGTTAAATCATTTGAGTAGCAAGCCAATTCAATACTATGCCACTTTAAAAAAAAATAAATTATAGCCTTTCCCTTCTTCCCTTACATACTGGAGACAGGAGGGGACATAGAAGGCTGTGGGTTTTTTGGTCCTTTTTTGTCCCCCTTTAAAAGGAGGAATGGGCTAAAAAGTGTCACTTAATGCATGATGTAGTTTACTGCCCCCAAACCACCCGATCTTTGCGTGTGGATGTGAGGATCACACTAAGATGGCATACTACCCCTCAAAACAACCCTGTTTAGCCTGATCCAGCGTGGATCAGTTTGGCTGTCTAGCTGCACACTTCCTTTATACACTAGGCAAGCCACAGTCAACTGCTGCCAAATGAAGATGTAGTTCTCAGTTCCTTCTTCGGCTACGGTACGCTTCCTCACTTGGTTCTGGATGCTACCCAGGCTGGCTATTTATTTTATCTTCCACAGTCCAATTTTTTTTTTTTAAAAAAAAAGGAAAAACATCTATGTGATCCTTTTAAACAATCGCAAAACAAGGGTGGTGTACCCATATTAGACCACTAGAATCTCACAAACAGGCACTAGCTTTTGGTTGCACAGGATTCTTCATCAAGATGGGCACTACAAAGCTAAATGGGGCTGCATCAAAAACAGAATAGCCCCCAAAATCATGGCCAGATGTAGACGTCAGGCTCTCTTTTTTTGCAGAAAGTTCCCAGTTAATAGCCCCCAAAATCATGGCCAGATGTAGCGGTCAGGCTCTCTTTTTTTGAAGAAAGTTCCCAGTTCCCTCCAGCTCTGCAATGGCCAGCCTGATGAAGAGTCCTGTAGTACCTGAAATTTAGTATCTGTGAAATGTTCACCTCTGTAATGGCCAGCCTGATGAAGAGTCCTGTAGCACCTGAAAGTTAGTATCTGTGAAATGTTCATAGCCTAGTAAATATATCACCCACCCTTATTTTTAGATTGTGTAAAACAACTGCATGTTCCCCCCCCCTTTTTTCCCATTGAATATATCACCCACCCTTATTTTTAGATTGCATAAAACAACTGCATGTTTCCCCCCTTTTTTCCCATTGGACTAAAGAAAGGAAGGAAGGGAGGAAGGGAAAGGAAAAGGAAAAGGAAAAGGAAAGGGAAAGGGAAAGGGAAAAGGAAAAAAAAGAAGAAAAAGGAAAAACCACTCCAAATGGAAGTGGATATCCAGGCATATTGTGTTTTGAATCCCCCCCCACCAGAATTTCAGTGCTTGTGTTACCCATAGCAGATCCCATAGACAGAAGATTAGCCCTAGACCCCGAACATGCCCAACTCATCATAGAAGAAGAGATTGGGGGGGGGGCGATTGGCTTAAAAGGCTCACTGTAGCTTGTGCCTGTAGCAGATCCCATAGACAGAAGATTAGCCCTAGACCCCGAACATGCCCAACTCATCCTAGAAGAAGAGATGGGGGTGGCCTAAAAGGCTCGCTGTAGCTTGTGCCTATAACCCGAGTAAGCTACCTGTACCTTTTCTATTCCTTTTCAATATGCAAAAGTCAGAAAGCATGTGTTGTGATTTTATTCCCTTTGCAGGGCGTAACTATTGTTCAGTGAACAATGGAGGTTGTACTCACCTGTGCCTGGCTACTCCAGGGGGACGTTCTTGCCGGTGTCCAGACAATACCATTGGAGTGGATTGTATAGAAAGAAACTGAGAGCTACAAGGCGGAACACATCAAGGCAACTGCCATGTCTGGAAAAATCCTGTCAGTTACTAGTTGAATGGCCAGTAGTCACATACAAGGAAAGATCCTGAATAGAAGATTTCGGTGCTGCCTACAGCTAGAAGGCACAAAATACACATGTAAGAACCAGCCATTGGTATAGTGGAACACTGGCATACCTGCAACCATACCTTCTATACCTTCCTCTTTGTTTAAAAATACAAATGCGATGGCTAGCTGTACCTCCTGGTCAAATGGTTGTACAAACTGTAATATGAAGTAATGAACAGCAATTAGAAGCCAGCATCTAGAATACCCACTATATCCATTACTATCTTGACCATTCATTTGAAAATTAACTTTCCATAATAGCCTACAACTGATGCAGCCAAGTTTTGAACATGAGTTTCAAGAGTGGAGTTAAAATGTAAAGGTACGTTGGCAGAAAAATCCAGGAAGTTAACCAAAGCAAATCCAAATTCAGCAGATTCTTGTTCCAGAGGTCTTAAGAATTACCTCCAATTCTCCTTCAGAGTTTTTCAAAGCTAATTGTGTAATAATGTGCCAATACACATTTGAAAAGGGTTAAAGCAACTTGATAGGAAAAATTGGAAGTTTCGCCATATGGGACTAGCTCGGTAATATTAGCTTACAAGTTTTGAAGTACCACTTAATTGCTTCTCTTTGCCATTTGGGGCTGCTAGAAAAGCAACATGAATTTGGACTAGGAGAAGTGGCTTTTCAGGGGAATTTCATCAAACATTCTTGATTTCTTTTCTTTTCTTATCACTCCTTTCTCAATGTTTATCTGCTACACTTTTGTTGCAATTTTAGATACATCTTTTGCAGATGCCATGGGCAATCAAGACAAGGGAAGTCCATCCAATAGCCAAAATAGTTTCAGTTTTTGGTCTTTGCACCATGCCTTGCTAGTTATTTGAAATAAATAAAGGAAGGCCTAGTTTCTGCGCCTGATACTATCAGGAACAATGCACCCACAATGAAATCAGCAAAGTATGCTATTTGAGCAGTATGCAGATTTAAAAGCCTCTCCACATTTTTCTGCTAAAGCAATGTTACAAAGCTTTTGGCTTATAAGGGCAACAAGCAAAATAAGCAGAGATAAGAGCAAATTTCATATACTCAGTCTTAAAAACACACAAAATGTAATCCTTCAGGTATTTCATACCAGATTATTATATTACTAAAACAGAGCCGGTTTTGACCTGTAAGTGTTATATTCATCATTAAAATGCCAAATGCTGTATTAAATATTTTAATTTTTTATAACTATGGTATAACTTTAGTGCATTTAATTCTTACACATCATTAGCCATGTCTGAAAAATTGTATATACGTACTAAAAAAACTGTACTGAAACAAATCAAAGGTGCTTTTAACAAATGTTCTCCCAGTATTGTTTCAGTTTCAGGTTGAACAAAAAGGTTTACACACTGTACAGCAAATCTCTACATGACTAATAAAGAAACTGCTTTGTTTTTTGTTAAACAATTGTATTTGCAGTATAATGCAGTGTCTTCAAATTTTTCATTAAAAAAAAAAGATTTAGACACATATTTCCACCTATCTCTATTGCTATATAGATTTGCTCTCTGGCAACTATGCCATTGAATAAATTATTTGCCCAAGCCCAAACAGAATCCTAGGAATTAATATCAGTCCTCTGACATATAAAAATGTTCGTAGCAAATAATTTATTTGCTGTATTTTTGGAAAAATTCATGATCGGCTTGTGCACCATTCAGAATTAATTAACATAAAATATATGGTGGTATATGTCAGTAGAGGGATTGCCAGCAGCAGCCTCAGGATTTGTTCAAAGCACTGTACACACTTCCTAAGTGAAAGAACTTGTAAGAGCTTAATTCTGCAGTGAACTATACAGCTATAGAACCTGATGAAACAACCTTGTTGACAGCCACAGGGCAGGTTTTCTGAGAAAGATTGCCCCATTTTCCATGCAGCATATAGAATATATCTGAGTCACTTATTTTGCAAATATGGGGAAGGTGATATGAAACATTTCAAGCTGTGAAGAAGGGACAGTTTACAGAATCTGTGAACTTCCTGTCACCTTGCTCTAATGTTTTTTAAAAAAAACAAGGACTAGTCTATGTGGTCCCTCATATGGTACAATGTGATTTACAAACATCAGGTGCTACCTGTGCTGTCTTTTCCCTTGCTCTCGTGCCTTTATTTTGTGAGAAAATGTCATCATTCTTCACTGCTCCCTTAGGTACAGTTCTATTCAGTATATCAATGTCCAGATTGATTGCGGCACAGGTAAGGGGAAGCCTGCCGGTCTCTGCCTTTTGTGATTTGGAAAGCAATTTCCCAAGTCTAGCTGATGACAGGAAATCCTCATGAAAGGAAAAGCCTAATGAAATGGAAGTGCATAGATTCCAACAGTGGATGTGACCGAGAATACTAATTACTGTCAATGCAATAATTATGCATCTGAGGCCTCAACCAAGTTTTCTTTTTGGCTTAGTCTTAGTCCTGTTCCCAGTGCATCTTCTAGAATGGAAATGGCTTTTTCAGACTCCAAATCAGTCACAGGCATCAAAGAAGCACGAACCATCCAGGTTCAGAACATAAATGACTTTGGGTATCCCAGTGACATAAAGGCACTCTCTGTGGGCAGTTGCTGTGAACATCAGCCTGTTTGGAGTCTATGGTAATAAATCGCTCTCTCATGTGTCCTTCAATCAGCTCTGGGTGGCATATATGCAGATATCCTGGTGTACCCACACAGTTCTGAGGCAGGGTAGAAATGGAGGTAGCGATTTGCCCAAAACTACATAGTGAATATAATAGTTCGCAGAGGTTTAAATACATTTCCTGATTTCAGTGGTCTACACATCTGACTCTCAGCACAGAATGTCATAGGCCTGATTTTGCATATTACTGGAGGGGTACAGAATCTACTTCGCATTGATTTGGTCCTATAGTATTCTGGTTATACGAAGGAAGGGACCATACAAGTTGACCAAAAGACATGTCTCCTCCCATGCCATTGGTGCCAGCTCCTTAGGAGTGAGCAATGTAGGTGTGGGAAGATGGATCATGTAGGAGTGGATTACTGGATCATGACGCTGATACCCTTTGGTAATGTGTGAATTGGGCCTGAGAGTCTTGTATAATATTTACAGCATGGGGGCAATAAGAAGGCCTTACAGACTAGCTCAATCAAAATATTAAATAAATCCTATAGGCTGGGCATGTTTTGCTTGGTGTCTCAACAACTAATGGAAAGCTAGCTATTCAGGGAGGTGTTTAATGCTAGATCAAGGTCATTAAATTTGGACTTTTGCCATCAACAGTTTCTTTTTCAGGGTTGCTCTTAAGGTTTAATTCTATGTGCATTTCCATCATGTTTTTAGAACTTTTTCTTAAACTATTGTCTTATTCATGTCATTGTGTGGTACTTTGAGTACCATTTAGGCACTTGAGAATTCAGAAAAGCTATGCCTGAATCATCAATAAATAAGTAAATGGTGCTAGCATTCTCTTGTGGCAGACAAATATATCACTAGAAATGCCAAACCCCAAAGTCTCTTTAAATTTCACAGGCCAAGCAAATGACTGCTTGCAATGCACTGTGTTGGTATTTGGTAGGTTTCAGCATTTCAAAATGATTAAAAATTGCCCCAAGAAGCAACTGAAACTTTTAAACTGCTAATGAAATTGTTTGGGCAATGCATTGAAGAAATATTTAGCAATAAATGTTATTGAAGCTATATTGGGATTTGCTTTCTGTGATTTATTGTCCACTGGGAATTCCTTCCTCAGGCTCCTGCGGTTAGCTCAAGAGAGCCAGCAAAGTCACAGCATCCCTCCCGTATGAGTATTCCAGCTTGGAAAGCTGCTGATGTGGCATTTCTCTGATTTCACAATTTTGTCACAATACACTGGACAGTAATGTGGTGGAACATGATTAGGAATGACATGAGATCATTAGAGGATAAGAGGGTAAAATGTCTTGTCAACTACAGTGTCATACTTTATCAGTTTAATATAACTTTGTATATGGTCTGAGTACAGCATTTCACAGTATATTCTCAGTTCTAGATTTTGCAGTAGTAGCACAACTATGAAACTTCGGGGGGGTTGAGTTAGGAAATGTTAAGAAAAGCTTTGCTAAATACTGGTCTTTATAGAGAGAGAGTGTGCACAAAGCTGTGGCTATTGAAAGTACTCCTGTACAGTTTGTAATGAAATAGTTGTGGCCATGGCAAATGTGGTAGAAGTATGTCCTTTAAATGTTCAGCAGATGTTGTTACTTGTTGAAGATAGATGCTTGAGTGGGGAATAAAATTTCTAATATACAAATGTGTTTGAGAGGAGATAGGAGGGCCTGGCATGCTCTGGTCCATGGGGTCACGAAGAGTCGGACACGACTAAACGACTAAACGAAAACGTTTAAGAGGAACTAGTTTCATTTGGAATTAACAGTCTGCTAGAGTAGGGATGTGGTGGCGCTGTGGGCTAAGCCGCAGAAGCCTGTGCTGCAGGGTCAGAAGACCAAGCAGTTGTAAGATTGAATCCACGCGACGGAGTGAGCGCCCGTCACTTGTCCCAGCTCCCGCCAACCTAGCGGTTCGAAAGCATGCTAATGTAAGTAGATTAATAGAGACGACCTCGGTCGGAAGGTAACAGCATTCTGTGTCTAAGTCGCCCTGGCCATGTGACCACGGAAGATTGTCTTCAGACAAAATGCTGGCTCTATTGCTTGGAAACGGGGATGAGCACCGCCCCCTAGAGTCGAACACGACTGGACAAAAATGTTCAAGGGGAACCTTTACCTTTACCTTACCTAGACATGGATACATGTGTACTGGACAAAAATTTAAAACTTTTTTGCACTAAAAATACTAGTTAGTCTATATATGCAAGAGACTTCATTTTACTTTATAAAATGTAGATTCATTTTCTTCTGAAGTGCTTTCATACACTTTAGTAGCAAATGTATGTTTCTGATGTGACCACTAATGCCTCTTCCTGTTCAGATTCCAGCTTGAATATCTGCCATTCCTTGCTCCATATATGGTAAAAGGCTTTGTAGGAAAAGTCTTCAACATCATTTTGTTTGGATGGGAAAATTAATGCAATGGTCTTATAGTTGCTGCACTCCTTGGCATCTCCTTTCTCTGGGACTGTAATATATATTGAACCTTCCAATCTGTGGGACATTGTTTTATTTTCCATATTTGTTGGCATATTCTTCTTAAGATTTTTTTCTATAAATTTAGTCTTTGTAGTTTGAAATGGCTTTATTGGTATCCCATCTACTCCTAGTGATTTATTTCTTCCAAGTAATTTGGGAGCAGTTTTCACTTCATTGACTTTCCAAAATTGCAGATTCTTCATTACAGGATTCTTCTTTGAAAGTATCCATCATCTTTAAATCT